CCTCAATACTTGGTAGACAGTACAGTACACAATGGCGGTAACATCTGATGGGTCGTTTTTGTGTTTGAATGTGTCGTTTTGAGCAAAAAATTTACTCGAAAAATGTCACAAAATGGCAAGTTAATACTGACAACAAAAATCAATGATAAAACAGTGTAAATACAGCTGGAAACCAGAGAAAAATGAACCTCATTAATTATTTAAGGTCCAGATGGGAATCCCAGTATCAGAAAAGTTGAATAATGTTTACTTAATTTTATTGAGTTGATATTTACACTACTCGCTTGAATTAAGTACTGATATGGAATTTACTTTTTTTTAATTCTTGCCTGAACTAATTACATTGTTTTTTTCAGTAGTATTTACTTCACCAAAAAAATATTTTTTTACAGTGTACAAACACTGTTGTGTTTTACAGTAATATTGGGAAATATCATTACAATTTAAAATATCTGTTTTCTATGTGAATATATAGTAAAATGTAATTTATTCCTGTGATCAAAGCATCATTACTACAGTCTTCAGTGTCACATGATCCTTCATAAATCACTCTAATGATCTGATGATCAAGAAACATTTATTATTGTTATCAATGTTGAAAACAGTTGATGAAAATAAAGTTCTTATTTATTTGAAATATAATCTTTTGTAACATTAAAAATGTCTTTCCTGTCACTTTTGACCAATTTAAGACATCCTTCCTGAATAAAAGTATTGATTTATTGTATTTCCCCACCAAATAAAATAAAATAAAAATGTCTTACTTACCCCGAACTTTTGAACGGTAGTGTTTAATGTGACAAAAGCTTTCTATCTCAGATAAATGATGTTCCTTTAAACTTTTCATTCATCAAAGAATCCTGGAAAAAAAATTGTACACGACTGTTTCATTTTTACATTGAAAATAATAATAAATGTTTCTTGATCATCAGATCCTCATATCAGAGTGATTTGTGAAGGGTCATGTGACACTGAAGACTGGCGTAATGAAGCTTTGATCACAGGAATAAATTACACTTTACAATTTATTCATATAGAGAAAAGTTATTTTAAATTGTAATAATATTTCACAACATTACCGTTTTTGTATTTTTAATCAAATAAGAGAGACTTCTTTTAAAAACATCAAAAATCTGTAACCCATGTAACCCTATAGTTTATGAGCAGAAAATTGACATATATAATTTTAAGATAGGACCTTATAAAGTTGGCATTCATTGGATGTCTGAAAAGCACATAATCCATCCTGAGAGTCGTCACATGATCACTGCCGAAATGTGTTACGCCGGTGGTTAAAATTGCATTCCAGACATTTCCATCAGTCCGTCCTTCTTCAGGACCCTCATTAAGCTTGTCATCGCTGATCGCTGTTCTTGACATCACTCTTCATTAGGGGGAAACATGCTCTTAAATATCGAAGCAAGTGGAGTCATAACCAGAGACCAAGACCAGACCGAGACCAGAGCACTTTACTTTTACTGAGAAATGTCTGCATTTAATCAACACCAGATTATAATAATCAGATGCTATATAGATCTGTAAGTTCAATTACAACTGCAGAAATATTATTGAGGCTAATGTTTTAAGAAATTGCTCTCTTGCTCATGTGAGATTGCTTAATTATGTCATGTTATAAAAACAAAGTACTTTTTTCTTGAATTTTGTGGGCATTTGTCTTAATTTCAGTGACAATTGATATTTTTGATCTCACAATTGCAAGTTTACATCTCGCAATTCTGAGAAATAAAATTAGAATTGCGAGATATTGAGTTATAAAGTCAGAATTGTGAGATATAAACTCGCCATTCTGAGAAAAAAAAGTCGTCTTTTTTTCCTTCGATTTGGACTTGCAATTAATGTTGTTAATGCAAAACTCGCAATTGCTTTATATCACGCAATTCTGAGTTGAAGTCTGAATTTAAATTCACAATTGAGAGATATCAAATTGCAATGGTAAGAAAAAAAGTCAGAATTGTGAGATTTAAAAAAATCGCAACTATTTTTTATTCTGTGGCGGAAGCAAAAGCGTTTTACAGACCCGACACAACAGAAAAAAAAAAAGAAATCAAATTAGAAACAAGTTGTGGACGCGTGCTTCCGCCACAGAATAAAAAATAAAAAAGCTAGTTGCGATTTTGTTTTTAATCTCACAATTCTGACTTTTTTTCTTACCATTGCGAATTTGAGAGTTTACATCTCGTAGAAATTCTTAGTTGAATGATTACTGTATGTCTTAAGGCCAATTTATACTTCTGTGTCGAGGGGACGCCGTCGTGAGCATTATACCTCTGCGTTCAGGTCTTGGTTACTCTGCAGTACTGCTCCGAAACGCTAGTTGGCGGCGGAGGGTTTTAATGTTCCACTGTGTTTAGATTCCTCGCGGCTAGGTTACTGCAAGCAATAGAGTGCCGAAGTTATGACGTCACTTTGTAGGATAACTCGGAAGCTAGCGGCGCATGGGTTCCCTCGGTCGAAAAGCAATGCATTTTCCTCATAGACTTTTGGAAAATCGCAAAAAATACGATCTGTGTTTAACAAAGAGTTGTGACCCTTACACGTTTTGTCTAGCAAGATAATCTTTACAAGTTAATCCAAAATTTATACATTTTGAAGCCTATATAAAGATTTTAAAAAACACAATCAGACACAATAAAGTTTAAAAAACCACAAGCAGGTTATAACTGTGTGTTCTGTGTCATAGATCAAAACGTGAAAATATTTAGAGGCTTTGTTCACCACAGACCTTATTTCAGGCGATTTAGCAAAAAACCCGTTCAAAAATCCCATAGACTTTAGACTAGAGCGAGGGAACCGTAATGCTAAAATGCTAACTTACTTCCGCGTATTGGCCTACAGAGTGACGTCGTAACTTCAGCACTCTATGGCGACTGAAAGAGAGCGGATCATGTTGGAGTTGTGGAAATGTACGTGCGGAAATGCGTAGGAGGAAATGCGATGCTACCAAGCCGACCAATCACAGATCTTGTGGTCCGTGTCGTCGCAACGTGTAGTTACATTTTTGAGGAGGTTCGCGTCAGGCTACGGCGAAGGGTACACGATATGGTACGCGTCTGTGCGTATGCTATGCCGTACCTACTGCGCGCATAAGTATAAATTGGCCTTTACAGCTTATGAAAACACCAAATTCAAAATCTCAGAAAATTTGAATATTACATGAAATCAATAAAAAAAGGATTTTAAATACAGAAATGTCGGCCCTCTGAAGAGTATAATCATGCATATGTATATAGTTTTATGAACTAAATATATTAGTTTCGACTTTTAAGTTGAATTACTGAAATGCAGGAACTGTTGCACGATATTCAAATTTTTCGAGTTTCACCTGTATATCTTTGTAAATTATGCAGTTTGTAAGTGTAATCTCTTTTTATATTTGATTTCTTTATTCAATGCATGTAGTATTTCTACAAGATGTAAACGCGCAAAGAAAAGTCAGAATTGTGAGATAAAAAATATCGCAATTAACTTTTTATTTTTTTTTTATTTTTTTTTTTTCTAATTTGATTTCTTTCTTTTTTTCTGTTGTGTCGGGTCTGTAATCAAGCTACAAATAAGCATTTGGTTGCATTCAAAGCACGCAGTTTTACACCCAATCTCATGAAGGATGTTAACAAATAAATCGGACAATGCACTGACAATTTAGTGATGTGGTTGACTGGTTGAGAAATAAAATGAGAACAAGACCTTCATAAAATGTTCTCGAGTGCTACAACACTACTTCTGTAGGACTTGACTGTCTAAAAGTATGCAGTTAAATATATATATATATATATATTGTCACATACTTTGCATACCAACCAGCTTCATCGGTTTCCTCATTAGCAAAAAAAAAAAACGTACAAGCCTTCAAGCTTTCTTTAAAGACCTTCATCCTGACAGTGAGCTGGTAAATCGGGCTCAAGTAAATAGCTTGGCATTAGAAGAATGTTGCGAATGAAGGCTGAAATCAGATTTATTAGTAGTTATCTCTGACGTTTAGAGTGAGTACTGCACGGTACCAAGCACTGCACTCGAACGCTGATCAAACACATTCTTGCTGTAATCGACAAGCATCCATAATAGAGATGAAGCGGTTTGAATATTTCATTTCTTGATTATTGTGATCACGATTCTGTATTATCACAGCATTGTTAAACTGTGCTGGAAATGTCCAAAAAGTAGTGATACACAAACTGAAATCATTTCAGTGTTATATTGACTAACAAACAACAAATACATTTTGTTTTTACATTTTGTTGTAATAAATAATTAAATTATGATTTAAAGTTTCCCATTCCCGGTGAGGTCAGCTCCATCAATTGCCACTTTTAAGTCTTATTTAAAAACTTAGTTATTTTCTTTAGCTTTTGATTAAGTTATATTTGTTTTGTTGTATGATTTTAATGTTATTATTTTTGTAAAGCACGTCTGTTGTTTGAAAATGTGCTGTATAAATAAAGTTGCTAAAAATGTTTGTTTGGTATTCATAAATCCCTTTTTCGTAAATGTTTTTCATGGTCAGTTCACAGCGGTGACAGGAATGAACTCTTTCTTTACATTTGCAACCTTGAAACTTTTGAATAATTTGAAAATTAATTTCCGTGGGGCATTTATACCTTTGAAAGGGCAATTGTTTCTACCCTTTTTAGATGCATAATTTCTCTATGTAAAATAAGTAAATCAATCAAATCTAAATCAGCTTTCAAGCAGGTAATCAGACGCTGATATTGGATGACAAATTATCCTCATATAACTCATATAGTAATTGAAGGTACAGTAGAGTATACTGTGCTTGGGTCATTTTCTTGGCGTAATTTATTTAATCATTAAACCACCAATCCATATAAAACTAATAGTTTAGTCAATGCAAAACTATTTATTTGGTGCTCATTTCTACTATGCACACATTATTTTTAGCAGAGATATAAAAGTTCAAAATCATGTAGAGGCATGTATTGTGTCCTAAATGCCAGTTTAACTCTTTCTTTTCATCCTCACAGGTAATGCCAGACTCCTGTGGCTTCTGTGTTGTAAATATAGTGAGGAAATATTTCCCCTCGGCCCATAATTCCACTTTATAGCCCACATGGATTCCTATAATTTCCACTTCGAGAGGATGAGCAACCTTGACCTACACCCTCTGAGTCTCCCGGTCAGTCGACTCTCCCCGGCCAAGTCCACTAGCAGTATTGATCAGTATACACACCACCACGGCAAAGGGGACTCCGCCTATAGCTCATTCTCTGGTGGCTCCACCGTCCCCGATTACCCTTCTCCCTTTCTCCTGGATGAAATCCAGTCGCAAAGCTTGCACTACACCGATCTGAAATGCGGGAGAGCTAAATATAGCCCAACCTGTCTAGATTCAGATTCCAAGAGCATGGACCACATTTACCGTTCGATGGAAACCGTTGCACAACAGCGTCGCAGGAGCAGCGTTGACTTTTCTGGCATTGAAAATCCATCAGTTCACAAGCATCCATTACCACCCCCACCACCTCCTACCCGTCTGAACAGTTTCGTAACAACCAGGAATCTCGAAAACTCAAGGGCACGTCAGAGTCCAGAAGGACAGCTTGCTGATGTTTCTGCTTTACATCAGACCGTTAACCCAGAGGTCTCTGGGGTCCGGACTGAACCTGTCCATGGTCGCGCATTTTCACAGCTTAAAGATCACCTCACGCCAGAACCAGCGGACAAGGTGCTTGATCCACCAAAGCCTACAGAGATTTCAAATAGATCACCCCTACAAACATGTCAACCCGATTACTTGAGTGGCCATTCAGAAAAGCAACGAAAAAGGTCTCATTCAGCTTACGGTGGACCCGTTTCTGAGAATCAGTGTTTGGTCAGCTCCTGCCGTATGCCACAGAACATGATCAGTGGGAGTATTCAGCACAAAGGACAATTTTATTTTGTAACTGGTGTCTTCAAGTCCTCTGAGCCCAGTGTCATGCAAGGTGTCCTTGAAGACAGTGCAAGCGAGGAAACCTCTAGAGAGTGGTCCTATAAAGCTCAGCGTAGAAGGCAGAGCTGTCCCGATGGTCCGAGTGGGAAGCTGTTCTTTCAAGAGGAACACAAATTCAGCATTCGGAATGAAGTTGTCGAGCATCCGAATAACAAGTCCGAGGAGACTTGTGAAGGTGTAGAGGACTGTAGAGAAACTAGCATGCATCACTCCACTAGCCACCCTATCTTCTACTGTGGTCCCGAGGACAAGTCAATTGGTTCAGTAATCACCCCTGCTCTAATTAAGGAAGACCATACCAGTCGTCCCAAGAAAGAAGAAGAGATGACCAGAGATTCAAGATGGCCCCAACTTAATATTCCAAGTGACAAGATCAGCAAGGAGACGACCCCACTGTTGTATCACCTCACAGGAGCGAACAGGGCATCATATCCAGGCAAGTTCAAAAACAGTAATGATTGTGGGAAGGTGATCAAGAATCAAGACTGTGTACAAGATAAACCGAAAACTCAAAATGATGGGCAAGCCTCGCCCAACGGCGAATATGGTCAGGGCGAAGCCCCTAAAGATCAACCAAATGAATTCTTCTACCCTTGTGGCACGTTAGATGACTCCTACAAAAAGTATTACAAGGAGAAACTGAAAGATGCCCAATCCAAGGTTTTGAGGGAGACTTCTTTTAAAAGGAGAGATTTGCAACTTTCTCGGCCACACAGGATCAAGCTACAGACGGACAAGAATCTCTCATGTTCTCCATCACTAGACGTACGGGCCAACTTGGACAGTCCCAGTCCTCAAGAAGCAGACCAGGAGTACACGAAAGAGCTTGGTCAGGAGATTGACAAGGAGAAGCCACAGAATATTGCTCAACCACAGGTGCCTCGGGTTGGGTGTAGAAAGCGTTTGACAGCAGATCAGAAAAAACTGTCTCACTCCGAGCCGGAGAAGCTGCACCTGCTGGCCGATGGACCCGCTCATATGACATGCCTCTCTCTTGACAACGAAGCTGAAGGTCTTCTTTCAGAGAGTGATCACGGTCTAGTGGCTGCCAGGCGGAAGATGTTTGAAACACGGGGCCGTGCTATGTCCGCCTCCAACTTCTCAAAATCAACTCTGAAGCACCTTCAGCACAAAGCCTTGGTTGCGTACATGGAACGTAAAACTGGTCAAAAGGTACCGGAGCCCCAGCATCCAGTTCCACAAGTTCCCATACCCAGAAATTCAACTTCGGAGTGGAGCTCCAGACATAATTCTGGTTCCACCAAGAACAGGCCTCTTTCTGCAGGTCAAATTCTTGACTCTGCGTCAAGTTCTGGTAAACACACCCAGTTCACCACTGCTCAACCCAGCTGTCACTCAAGGCAGTCCAGCTGGAGAGAAGAGTCCTCGAAAGCAGGGAATTCAGCCTCCGTGGAGAGTCTCCTGGACCCGCCTGAACAACCCAAGTTCCTACGGACTCGCAGCACCTCCACCCCCCATGCTTTCCCGGTATCTGTTCATCAAAATTCTAGTTTTACTTTAATTCCAGTTAGGGTTTTAGAATGCACCACTAACACTTTGTTGTATTTGTATCAATTATTTTTGTTCCATAGGTTCGGAAACATCTGGATGAGTTGTCAGCCATTCATAACATGGCTATTTCAAGGTGACCTGCTATTACTTGTCTTGCTAAGTACAATAACAGAGATTAGAACGTCTATCCTGTATTCATTATAACCACAGTTTGAACAGGATTGAGTTTCAATACAAATGTAATCAATAGACGCGTTTCCATTACCCTTAAACTTGCGCAAATTAATTGAAAATACACACAATGGAAACACTAGTCTGACTTCGTCATACTCATTTTCTATTCAGAATGTGAGTCTGAAACTGCTCCATAGGGCTTTGATTATGAGGCGTGTCTTAATCAAACCAAAAAAAAACAACCAAACTCTGCACTCAATTGGATAGAACTACAACCAATCAGAGCAACGCAGTAAGTGACGTATGTTGAGCGAGTTGTCAACAGAATTGAACTGCACGCACTCTGGAAAATGAGTGTCAACGGCCTTTGCCGGTGTTGCAAAAAGAAGTTAAGAATTCGCAGAGTACTTGCAAACTCGAAAAACATTTTTGAACGAAATAGAAAATGTGAATGTATATACAAACAAGTTCTCCATTTAAGATTAGATCTCGACAATAAAGACAACAAATCTGCTCGCATTTGTCGGGCCTGTCTCAACTTTATAACATGGTTGGAGCGCGACTTTACTGATTTTCATAAATGGAGAGACGAAGACACCGGTTGAAGAAGCGTGTTCGTTTGAGTCTTCAGAGAAAAGGGACCGGGAGCCAAAATTATGTTTAATGATGTATTTAATGATGATTTAAATGCAAAATAATGAGTAGCATCTAATAATTTATTTTAAAAAAGACATCGCTGATAAGGGGTAACTTACAGTGACTACCAGTATGGGTATGGTGTGTGAGTAGTATAACAAAGCGTCACCATTGTTTGATGTCGCGATGGTTTTGACATGAGTTGCATTGCCTTGATGCCCATTTCAGTTCCTTCTTTTACGTGGTCCTCCATGAGTGCGAGTGTGCGACCAAAGGAGAAACCACAATGACAACTGGGTTTTCATTGCGTCCCATCTTCTTAGCGACCATCGGAGCCAACTGATAAATTAAACTTTAGCCGAATCCTGTAAGAAGGACGGCAAACACATCTTGACGATCGACAAATACCTTTATTGCAGTTCTCTGTTCGTCTTTTAAAATTAAAAGACGCTGTCGATTTCTTCTAAAACAGACGCCATAGCAGAATACATCTCAATTCTCCACCTGCAGTCATCTTTGAGCGAAAACAGTTCAACACAAGCGCTCTTTGATGACGTGATGATTACGTAACTGCAGATCATCTGTCCATCATCATATAAAGCCCGCCCTGGCAATTTGATTGGCCCAACCATTTTTTTACTGATCATAATTACTCCTCAATGGATCGAGTCCAGACCGAACTTCCCGACCAAAAAATGTTGTGGGCGGGGGTTCGGGCTGGCATCCAGGCTATGGAAATACGTAAATTTCGCAAAAACTCCAATATATAACCAAAAAAAAAAAAAACGTTTTTTTACGCTCACATGTGGTATCTCAGCCAATTTGAAAAAGAAATATTTCGCAAAACTGCAATGGAAACAGTTTTTTCCGCATTTACAGGTCACGACGTACGTAAAAGTCAATCATTCTTTAAAGGTGACGTGGTATGTTTGGACAGAAGACAAGACAGAGTTCTTCATCAAACTCATAAAAGACCGAAGTATCATGGGAATACTGGATTGTAAACAACAAAGAAATCCCACTATTAATCTTGCCTCGCATCTTCCTCGTCTTATTTCTTCCTGGCTGTGTAGACGGCGACGCTACTTGGCGTATATCTTCTTCTCCGTTCCGTATGTGTGCTCGGAAAAAACGTTTTGTGTTTGAGCGCCCCCAAGTGGTGTTTTACTGTAACTTCACAAGCTCCAAACATGTGAGCAAAATCGCCAATCTCATTGGTCAGTGGCGCGTCAAACTAAAAAAACGAACCCGAGGCGTTTTTTTTTAAAATGACGCTTTTACGCGTGGTGTCTTACGCGTGTGCACACTCACATTGGCGGCCTTTGTTTAATCACAAGGCGTTAAACGTCGGCGAATATTGCGCGCAAAATTTGTCCCAGCGTGAGCAGGCCTTAAGTCTCCTTCGATGCAAAATAATTGGCTGGGATATACATAAACATCCGTTGCCATGTTTTTTGGAATGACTTATCGTGAGGAAAAAATTCTCGATAAGGACAAAAGTACATTTTAAGCCCCGTTCACACCGCCAGCGATTTTGTCGCTGTGTGTCTCTAGGCTCTGTACTGTGATGTCCCTTGTGGGCGTTCGTAGTGCTGTCGCTCTGATGTTATTGGTAGACTACTCGTCTGGCCATATATAAAAAAGACAATCACAAGTGCTATATAATTTTAATTTGACTGGCAATAAATGACTTTTAAGGCTAAAAAGAAACCATATGCTGTTGGGAGAGTGTTTTTATATCTCTACAGCTGTGTTCAGTGGATTAAATCATTTACTAGATCAACGATCGATCAATGAACAAATTAAACTCACTCAAACTGTCACAAATTATAAAAACGTCATTCGAATTGGACAAATAATCAAATTTCTTGTCCCTAATAGTCAACGTAATGCAGGGGAAATTGTAATGATGCTAAACGTGCATCATAAAATTACAACACTCGAACTATAACGTTAAATGTATGAATTAAACTCACTGAGACTGTCGACAGTTTCTTTTCCATGCATCATTTTATTATCCATGTATGTGGTTACAGTCAAATCATTTAAAATCGTCCTCAAACTCTTTCTTTCTGTCTTGCCTGCCCTGCACTTGAGACGGTGACGTGAGCTCCACTGAAAGTCTTGTTTCCTATTGGTTGTCGCTCGCAAAAATCTCTTCTCATTTGCATAAAGTTGAAAATTCTCAACTTTTGTCGCTTGTCTCGTCGCTTGACACGCCCACATTCTGTCGCTTACGGTCACTGTCGCTCGTGTCGCCGGATGTCGCCAGCGTTCCATTGAAATGAATGGGACCTTTTCGCTGCATGTCGCTGGCGGTGTGAACGGGGCTTTAGGCGCATAACATCTATTAATGGAAACGTCATAGTTTCGCAATAGTTTTTTATCAACATTTAGAAAATATCTCAAAAGTATTGCGCAGAACTGTATTGGAAGCGTGGCTATTGAGACATTTCGGTTCCTAATTTTAGTGAAACTTTCTTTTTCAGTGCTCAAAGAAAAGTAGAAGATACACTAGTCCATCATAGTCGTACAGCATCTGTCCATGAGGAGCGGCGGGTACAAATCAGAGCTCCCAGAGGGAAATCTATGGAGGAACTGGGTGTGTCCATTATCACGAAACCTGGCGTTCTCAGCAAAAGTTCTGAGCAGCTTGACCAACTTCGGGGCGAGCAGGCCCTGCCTGGTGCTGAGAGGAGAACGGCGCCGGTTCTTGCTGAAGGAAGGCACACACCGGGGAAGATTCTCAGCGCCGGAAAACCCACGGATAACTCTCAGGCAGGCCCTGGGAACACACTCCTAACCAATTCTGCAAAGCATTCATCCTCCAATAACGATGAAATCCATATAGCTTCACAAAATGGATGTAAACGTCAAGTTGACACTGTTCTGTCCATGCCTGGTCACTCCACCGGACCTGGTGGAAACATGCTGGAAGTCAGGTATATCTACATCCATTGCTGTAAATGCATTTATTAGTGGTACTTGCCAAGGCAAGTCTGCCTTTAAAATGTGAATATCTAGTTATGAAGGCATTGTTATAATTTACATTTATTTTGATATATTACAGCAAGGAGCAGGAGGATTTTTCTCAAGATAAGAGTGAATCATCTGTCTCCAGTCAAGAGGTCTCTCTCCTTCATGGAGTCAGAGCAGATCCTAGTCAACGGACCTCGACTTCTGAGGCACATTGTTCATCTCCTGAAGCGCCAGGGTTTCCTGAACCCCAAAATGCACCACCTGACCCGTACGGTGCCATCACAACACCACCTGGCATTCAAGAGTCCAGCCTGGCACCTGCACTTAACGAGGAACAAGACAGGAATATAAAGGAGGAAGACGGCCCTCTTGTGATTGAAAACGGGGACAAACTCAAGTGGGAGGTGCTTGTTCAGGAAGTGGTCTCAGCTGACCAATCATTAGCTCGTACTCTTTACCCTATAACCAATAGGAAGACAGCACTCATGCTGATGGAGCAGCTGTTATCTGAAGATAATCTTCTAATGGAGGAGCACTACAAGAAAAAACACGGGCAGGCGGTTAATCACCCTGACACAGCAGCGCACAGGTGACTACTGCTCATACACACACCGACACTTTACTTAAAGCCATACATTATTAAAGGTATTCATAATCTAGATTATAATGCTTTATATCTTAAGTTAGTATGCATTATAATAATATTTGCAGATTCCTTGTTACATTTGAAATTGGTTGTTTGTCGTGTTGTAAGTAATGGATAGATAGATGAGTATGATAATCAGGATAGATAAGGATTATAATCAGGGCTTGACATTCTCATGTAACGCAGTCGCTCCTACTAGCCACTTTGGCTGGTTGAATTTTAAATATTATACATTGTAGTCTTTTAAAAAGGCATCTGAAATATTAAACTAAGTGCAATGCAATGGTGTCAAAATATAATTTTTTTTATACATATCCATACTGAAATAACTGAAGCGCTTGCATTACTCATTGTCCACAGTATAGATAGACGATATCAGCTTCTCTCTCTCTCTCTCTCTCTCCCTCTCTCTGACGAGAGACACATAAACCCGCCTTTTTTCACTTTTTTCGCTCCAGATGAATATTTTTCCTGTTACAGGGTTATATTACAATTATGCTATGCATAATTTCACTCATTCCACAGATTTTGTTCTCAAACCCAAAGTTCGCGCTCATAAAGCCGCCTCTCGGCACTAAATGAGTGCTTTTTCGCTGCTTATTGCGCTTAAACAGTCAAATACACACAAAATAATGTCAAAATGCTGAGTATTCACATAAACACAGTCAGTTTTAAGTGAACGTAAACCGTTGAGAAGGAAACGCGTGTGTGACAGTATAACGGATCTGTGCGTCAGCTCTTAAAGTGACAGTAGCCTAATAAACCTGCTGCCAAATTATGAGATAATATAGAAAATATCTATAGGGCAGTTTTCCCCAGGGTATGGGCTATATGCACGCATAAGTTCCGCATTTGACGTAAGGATGCTCGTCCATTTCCGGTTGGAAGGAGGAAAACCGGAGAAAACGGGATTATGGCAGAGTCTTCAATATTTACTGTCCTCCCGTCTTTGAAACGAAACGTACATACTTTTAGATGTAATTTTATATATAGTTATGTTTATTTAATATAATTTCAAAAAGAAGCATAAACACAACGAGGGGTGTCTGTTTTATCTGTTTTTGTGACTAACGTTTCATTAGTATAACCATGGAGTATAAAATTCAATATAAATTCTCGGTATTGCATTGGACTCTATGATCGGCGGAAGTTATCGAGCATCCTTAATCCTTCACCGGAAATACCGCCGTGCATAGAGCCCATTGATGTCAAAATTGTGTCCAATGAAAATGCTGTAACTCGGAAAACCACTCGCCACAGTGACCGGAGAGCAAAAAATATCAATGTCAAACCCAATGTATTATAGTTGGTTGTTACGGTTATTCATGTGATCAGATAATGCATTAAAACAGTTTTATAATGCATTGTATATAAAGTAGGGCTGTGCAAAGATTAATTGCGATTAATTGCATCCAAAATAAAAGTTTGTTTACATAATATATGTGTGTGCTGTGCATGCATGTATATATTTAAGAATTATTTGCACATAAATATTGCATAAATACATAATCTATATTATATAAAAATATAAATATAACGTGTGTGTATTTATATATATAAAATAATTATACACAGCACACACACACACACACACACACACACACACATACATATATTATGTAAACACAAACTTTTATTTTGGATGTGATTAATCGCGATTAATCTTTGCACAGCCCTAATATAAAGTCTTTAATTAAAAAGCATCTTGTCCTTTTCTAGGTTATAAATAAATGGCTCCAAAACTGCCTATTCTACATGGCAAGCTGCATGCTAGACTTTCATTTGTATTTTCACTCCATGTTTGATTTTGTTTTTAAAGCACTGAGACGACAGCTTGTGCCAAACCGTTGATCCTTCCGTCATCTGTGAACAATGAGTCCGTTCTCTCAAACCAAAAAGAAGAACTGTGCAACACGGAAATGGATATCATCGAGAAGAAGGTACTGGAAAGTGTCATAATGTTATATAGAATGATGTTGGTGATCCAATCATTTATGCTGTTAGCCAACCATAGCAGTGACGTTAGCCAATCATAACAGTGACTAGCCAATCATAACAGTGACGTTAGCCAATCATAGCATGAAGTTAGCCAATCATAGCATGACAGTGACTTTAGCCAATCATAGCGTGACGTTAGCCAATCATAACAGTGACGTTAGCCAATCATAACATGACAGTGACGTTAGCCAATCATAACAGTGACTAGCCAATCATAACAGTGACGTTAGCCAATCATAGCATGAAGTTAGCCAATCATAGCATGACACTGACGTTAGCCAATCATAGCGTGACGTTAGCCAATCATAACAGTGACATTAACCAATCTTAGCAGTGACATTAACCAACCATAGCAGTGACGTTAGCCAATCATAGCATGACAGTGACGTTAGCCAATCATAGCGTGACAGTGACGTTAGCCAATCATAGCATGACAGTGACGTTAGCCAATCATAGCGTGACATTAGCCAACCATAGCAGTGACGTTAGCCAATCATAGCAGTGACGTTAGCCAATCATAGCATGACAGTGACGTTAGCCAATCATAACAGTGACGTTAGCCAATCATAACATGACAGTGACGTTAGCCAATCATAACAGTGACTAGCCAATCATAACAGTGACATTAGCCAATCATAGCATGAAGTTAGCCAATCATAGCATGACAGTGACGTTAGCCAATCATAGCGTGACGTTAGCCAATCATAACAGTGACGTTAGCCAATCATTACAGTGACATTAGCCAATCATAGCAGTGACGTTAGCCAATCATAGCATGACAGTGACGTTAGCCAATCATAGCGTGACGTTAGCCAATCTTAGCAGTGACATTAGCCAACCATAGCATGAAGTTAGCCAATCATAGCATGACAGTGACGTTAGCCAATCATAACAGTGACATTAACCAATCTTAGCAGTGACATTAACCAATCTTAGCAGTGACGTTAGCAAATCATAACAGTGACATTAACCAATCTTAGCAGTGACGTTAGCAAATCATAACAGTGACATTAACTAATCTTAGCAGTGATGTTAGCCAATCATAGCAGTGACTAGCCAATCATAACAGTGACTTTGTTCATACATACGTTGACGTATGTTTTAGGAGGACAGAAAAATACAGTACAAACAACATCAACAAATGTAGGATGTATTGCTTCAATGTAAATGAGCAGTCATGAGGTTATTTATTGTGTAGTGACGTGTGTGTGTGTGTGTTACTAATCGCAATCTACTGGCAGGTTGGAGGGGTGTTCATTTCAAACGCAGCCTAGTTATTATTATTACAAATAAACAAACATGTGTTGTGTATGGTTCCTCTCCCGTATAGAGATGGCTGATAGCACGTATCGAGGAGCGTTTGAAGTGTGTGGAGGAGGTCCGGTCCGGCGTCCAGGCCGAGGTGAAGGCGAACGGTGTGTGTGGCGATGCTATAGAGGCTCTGGTGCGGGAGAGCTGTGTGCCAGCCGAGCTCGAGCGATACACACAGTTTATCGGAGACCTGGAGCGGGTGGTGAGTCTTCTTCTCTGCCTGTCCGCTCGTCTGGCCCGCGTGGAGAATGCCCTCAGCGCTGCGGACGACAACATGGACACCGAGGAGAAGGTGAGTTCATTACACACGTAAAGGTTACAGATGTAAAATAAGTCTCTGATGACCCCAGAGTGTGTATGTGAAGTTTTAGCTCAAAATGCCCCACAGATATTTTTATATACCATGTTAAAAATGTCCTTTTTTGAGGGTGAGCAAAATCGCAACTTGTGTGTGTCCCTTTAAATGCAAATGAGCTGCTGCTCCCGGCGCAGGGGGTGGAGCCACAGCTGTTCTTAGCAGCTTCAATTGCCTCACACACACTGAACATTTCTAAAACTTTTAGCCTTTTATGTTCAAACCGGAGTGAGATGATGATGATGGAGAGACAACATGTCTGAAGGGTTAGTTGATGAATTTATGTAGCTTACGTGTCATTATCTTATAGTCATTGATTAGCATATTTTGTCTTGATAATCTAGTCTGTGGAACGCCTTGCCTTTGTTCCTCCGTGTGACCGACTCGATCGATTATTTTAAAAGGCATCTTAAGACACTTTTATTTAGACAAGCATTTAGTTAACTGGGTTTTATTTTGGGCTTTTTAAATGTTTGAAATGTTGAAATTTTACTGATTATATACTGTTTTTTTTTGTGGCTGCACTTTGTAAAGCACTTTGTGATTTTTTTTATTGGTGAAAAGTGCTCTATAAATAAACTTTACTTACTTACTTAGTTACTTACTTACTCTATAAATCATGTTCTGGGGGCGGGGTTTATGTAAATTTTAGGGTTAGTGATGTCACTTCCCCGGGAGGAAGCTTGTGTAGTTCTTCCAGCCGTTTGTTGTAGTCCTTAAAAAGCGGTTTCTGTATGTGCAAATATCTCAGTTTGCTTTGAAGTTTGAGCGTCGTAACTTTGCAGATGTTGTTTATGATCAAACAGTGACATCACACACTGTGTGTAGATAGCTAGGAGGGGCCCTAAACACACGAAAGGTTGAGTGCTGGGAAACACTTCTTTCTTTAGATCTGGCTTTAAGATTGACTGGTTCTGCCGGATCAGATGTTGATGGTGTCATCACTGCCTGACGGAAACCTGTCTTCAGTTTCGATGAGTTTAGTGATTGCACTTTGCGATTTTGATTTGATTTATTAGACAAGAAAGAGCTGAAACACACTCATTTGTCAAGGATAACACAATAAGGTTAAAAACTTGTTTCCGTTCCACTCCTTGATGTAAAGCACACACTTCACTGCTAGTGAGAGGTTACATTGGTATTGCACACTCTTAAGCCCGTTTCACACAGCGCGTTGATTGGCGTGTTCAGTCCCGGAGCGCGCGCTGTGTGAACAAAAGCCGCAACCAATGCCGTGTCGTAATGATGACGCTGAAGCCGGGATGGTTTGCCAGCTAGTTTATGATCAAATCAGAGATAGAAAAGCACAAGCGTGGTTTCTCGAGAGAGAAATCGCAGCTCATCATAAGCAAATGTAAGACATTATCTGTCAAATTAATGTCACGTGTCGTGTGAATTCCCGATACTCGGTTATTAACAGGTTTTCCTGCTTTAATGTTGATTATTTTCCTCATATTCTCCATTGTTGCGTCTCCTCTCTTCCCAGTCTGTCAGTTACGCTCTGTTTACTACCTCTCTATGAAGCCCCGCCTTCTGAAAAGCACTCTGTGCTCTGATTGGTCGGCTGGAGCAGTGTGTTGTGATTGGTCGAGCGCTTCGAGCGTGTTTGGGAAATGTTCGCAGGCCCCGCCCCTTTATTCTGCGTATGAATTATTATAATGAGGAATATTGCGACATGTTCTTTCCCAGAAGAAACTGGAGATGATGAACATTCGGGAAAATCACTGGCAGTGTGAATGAACCAAAATCGAACGAACCCGGGTCACTTTATCCGTGTATGTTCCGGAATCTCTGTGTGAAAGGGGCTTTATAAATACTAAGCTGCAATTTGCTAAATTTATGATTACAATCTTGCAGTTTCGAAGAAAAAAACTAAAAAGTTGCAATTACCTTTATTTTTTACTTATATAATGAATGCATGGACTTGGAATGTGTGTCATGGACACGAGTTGTGAAAGACTTCCTGACAGATCAGATTTACAGTTTTTGTTCTTCAGAAATATTCTAAGATAAAAAGCAATTACCTTTTTACCTTTTTTATTTATTTTTTTTGTTCCATGGCGGAAACAAGCTTAAGTATAATTAATTGTCCGCAAAGACCCGCCCCCTTTAGTTACTGTTGCTATGTCCGACAAGCCACGCCTCTCTCACACACTATGTTCTCACGCAGTAAAACACACATTGCAGAGCGGACACTGAAACACACTGACAGACAGGACACACCAGCTTACTTTTGATATGAAACAGTCTCAACTTTCAAATTTGGTCATTTTTTAAAGAAATTTTAACAGTAAATAGGGTTTTGTGGCTCGCTCAGTTAAAGCTGCTCGTGAACCGATATCTTCCTTCTAGCTCATTTATAGCCGAGCATCAAATAAACATCAATGAACCGTGGAAAGACGTCAGTACACTTAGTTTTTCAAGTTCAAATCCTCCAACGTTAATCTACTAACTCTCCTGACTGCTTTGGCGGACAAAAATTGCGGATTCGGCAGATGGTGGATTATGTCAAATTGCCTGTCAATCAAACTCCCTGCGAAAGGGTCCATTAGAGCTATAAAGGAGTAGTTCACTTTTAAAAAAACTTTTGCTGATAATTTACTCACCCCCATGTTATCCAAGATATCCACGTCTTTCTTTCTTCAGTCGAAAAGAAATTGAAGTTTTTGATGAAAACATTCCAGAATTTTCTCCATATAATGGACTTCAATGGGGACCAAACGGTTCAAGGTCCGAATGAGAGTTTCAGTGCAAACTGAAGTTTAAGTTTTATAAGCTCAAATGCTCGCCTTGCTCTGTTCTGTGTGACTCTCCTGTTCGAACTCGTTTATTAGAATGAACAAATCTTTTTCCGAGTCAATTCGTTCATTTCGTTCGTTGAATGAACCAAATGACTCGGAAAAAAATTTGTTAATTTTGATAAACAAGTTCGAACAGGAGGCATTCGAAGGCGAGCATTTGAGCTTATAAAACTTACACTTTGTTATTCATTTATTAAATGAGCGATCGTTTCGCTTGATAAGACCCTTATTCATCGTCTGGTGTCGTTTAAAGCCCTTTGAACAGTTTGCACTGAAACTGTCTTTTGGACCTTGAACCGTTTGGACCCCATTGAAGTCCATTATATGGAGAAAATCCTGGAATGTTTTCATCAAAAACCTTAATTTCTTTTCGACTGAAGAAAGAAAGACATGGACATCTTGGATGACATGGGGGTGAGTACATGATAAGCAAATTTTTTTTTTCAAAAGTGAACTACTCCTTGAAGGCCATTTATTGTCATTGTTCCACTCAAGAGATCAGATTTAAAAAAAAAATTCCAAAAAAATGTTCTTCAGAAATATCCTGTGTGTGCCGACTAATGACAAACGAGCCGAATTGTGACGTACCCTGCATTTCCTCTGATCCACAGCAATCGCTGGACAACCGCTACCGTCTCCTGTGCAAACAGAGGGAGGACGCCAAAGACTTGAAGGAAAACCTGGACCGTCGGGAGCGCCTGGTCTCCAGCTTTCTGTCCAAGCACCTGACGGACACACAGATGCAGGAGTACCGGCTCTTCATCCAGACCACGGCCTCCTTACTCATCCGCCAGAAAGACCTGGAGGAGAAGCAGCGTTTAGGAGAGGAGCAGCTCGAGGCCTTGCTCAGCACTATCCCAACTCCATGAGAACATCTCCAGACATCTGCCGACTCATGTGTTTTCCTGAGACTGGTAATGCTTTGAAACACTAGCGGCTTTCACACCGGAAGAAGCGGTTCATAGTTCCTGCAACTATTGGCGGTTCTAAGTTCCCAGAGTTTGGCGCATTCGCACCGCAGGAACTAATTTAGCTAATAGCTAATCTAACCCTAACCCTAACTGACCGTGACCTCAGTGTTCGAACAAACACCAGAACACGCCATCTTTAAAAACACACAGATTATAGCCTATATATTTACTGAAGACACTTAACTCTATGAACATGTCAAACAGTGATAGATGAGTCTCTCGACCTCTACACTGAGGAGAAAACCCAACGTGACTTTGAGACATGATCTGCTCATCAACACACTAATAACTCTTCATTACTGACGACTTTCTGTATAACAGTTTTATTTGAGACAGATCGTAGACTAATGAACACGGAGAATGTGAGCGACGTCAAAATAAAAGTCTCAACAGCGTCACTCAGAGATAGGGTTGGGTATCGTTTGAATTTGAACGATTCTGATGCCGATTCCGATTCCTTGTTTCGATTCCGGTTCCTAACGATTCTCGATTCCGATTCTTTTAAGAGGCAGGGTCAAAAAAGTTTAGCTAACCTTGCTAACCAACGGTCTTTCTGAAGGAAATACTCCTTCTGTCACAAATTTAGCATTTTGCCGAGATTTCGTTATTTTTAGAAAAGTGAAGTCACACTTTGGATCGCCGACGTAAGCTACTCATGTTCGACTCGCGCGGTTATGCCAACACTTCCGGAAGACGCTTCTTCGTTGGTGTTGTTCAGCGTTTTCTTCTTCCGCTCGGCGGACTGTCAATATCGAAACTAGGAATCGAAATTTTAACTTTTGAACGATTCCGGGAAAAATGAAAAGTTAGTCCCGGTTCCAATCGATTCTCGATACCCAACCCTACTCAGAGCTCATACTAGCGGTGCGAACGCAACCAGGAAAACGTTCCTATTAGAATCGTTAGTTTTCGGTTCACTATCCGGTGCGAAAGCCCCTAAAGTAGTTGTGTTCCTCTGCAGGTCATATCAAGTTGACTTTTGAAAACCATGGAAAGCTTTATTTAAGAGCCCGTGAGTGTGTCCTTTCAGGCGTGTGTGACATCGCTCTAAAATGACGACCAAAAAAAGGAAGAAACAAGCACTTTTGTACAATAAGCTGCACATGCTCATATCGTGTTTTCATCATTAATTTCAGGGCTTTATTATTGCTTTGATGCTGCAGCGTAGTGTAACTTTTCATTTTGTCCTGTTATTTCATTTGGCACTGTCATGGTGAATGCGTGTAATGATTGAAGTGTGTATTATTTAACTGCATGTATATTCGGCATGAGTAGACCTCTTTGTAATACCCTTGCATTTATGCATTTATCCACAGTGACCCATGATCTTGTGTTCTGCTGTTTGAGCGAGAGAAATGACTGAGTCACTGACACAAACATGTCAGCAGTGAGTGTGTACACAAGTGATTTTACCAGCTGTAAAACCATGGTAAGATCACTGACACGAGTAAATTGCTTTTACAAACCAGCAACATGATAAAAACCAGTGTGCATTTATGGTTGCTTTCATTATTAATATTAATAATTGGAACTAGATTTGCATTTCCTGGTGGAAATAATGAAACAGCAGGTTAAATGACCATTTAAAACAATGTAAGTAATATGAAAAGTTGATGGGTAAAACAGGAATCACAATTCAGCATGTACTTTTATTTTTAAACCTTTACAAAAATGATCTACAGAGCAAAGTTTAAATATCATCAGCACTTTGAATTATGGAAGCTTGTATCCGCCACAGCAAAACATTTGAAAAGATAATTATGACTTTTTATCTCACAATTGCGAGAAATAAACTCGCAAGACTTGATTTTTTTCCCTCAGACTTGCGAGTTTATATCTCACAATTCCAACTTCACAATTCTGAGATAAAAGTCAGAATTACTTTTTTTTTCTTTTTTATTCTTTCCTGATTTATTAAAGGCACACTATGCAAGAATTGTAATATAACAGCGTCAAAGTCATGTGGGTGGTAAACAAACTCGTAAAAAAAAATAGTAGGGCGAAAAACTGCTGTAAAAACCAGCAATGCAAGTTTGAGAGGACAAATCCCGCCCCCGACAAATCTCGCGAGAATCACGACATGCTTTACATTTACGAAAACGTTCCTCGACAATGGAAAAAGCAAAGAAAACTAGGTCGGAAGAGATTTGGAAAAGAGAATCTGACCGCGCGAGGAACCGGACAAGAGTCGGGCTTTCGCTCGTTGGTGCGCTCTCAAAAAAGCAACACTGAATGCAACAGCGATGCTGACCTGGCGATCTTGTTGATGGACTAGTAAATCTTATTTCTAAACTTGTTTGCATTCTATGTTGTATTTTGTTGCGCTTGCATGTATGTCTTGGTAACACTTTACAATAAGGTTCATTAGTTAACTACATTAGTTAACATGTACTAAGAATGAACAATACTTCTTCAGCATTTATTAATCTTAGTTAATATTAATTCCAACATTTACTAATACGTTATTAAAATCAAAGGTTGTATTAGTTAACATTAGTTAATGCACTGTGAACTAACATGAACACACAATGAACAGCTGTATTTATATTAACTAACATTAACAAAGATTAACAAGCACTGTAACTAATGCATTGCTCATCGTTAGTTCATGTTAGTTAATGCATAATGAACCTTATTGTAAAGTGTTACCTATGTCTTTTTTTTTTACGATGCTGTTCTGTCATCCATTGTTGATAATTAGACCAGTCCAATAATTTCCACATATGTTTAGCTAGCTATTTACGACAGCGCAAGAATTCCACAGCGACTACACAATTTCTACATAGTGTGCCTTTAAACATTCAACGTTAAAATGATGTGGTCTTTAATAACATTCTCAAAACATTAGAACATTATAATTTGCTATAACATTCAAAAGTAACGTTTGCATAACCACAAAAAACAAAAACATTTTTATACGTTAAAGGTGCTGTATGTTTTTTTTTTTTTTACTACTACACTATTAAAATAAGTAATATGTTTGCAGATGTTTAGGAAACGTGTTAAATTCACTCTTTGCTGGAATGAGCAAAGTCTGTTCTTGTTTTGATCTGTGTGACTCCGCCCACTGCCAATTTACCCAATAGTATTTCGACACCCCCGTTGCAGCTCGTATTGTGCATCGAACATGTATAGGAAAAAAATAAAATAAAAACTTAATGACAAGAACAAAAACCTATTAACAACAAATACTCCTCAAATCAGAAACCAAAATATATATATATAAAATAGGAAATCAAAAGAAAATAATAATAAAAAAAACAATATTAACTTATACATGTCTGAAAAGGAGTAGGAAGAAGCATGAGCTTATTTAATCCTACACCTTTCTCACAATTTATCAATAATACTCCAGGGGCCGATCATCTTAATCTACTACACCATAAAAATACTGTAATATGTTTGCAGAATTTTAGTAAACATGCTAAATTCACACAGCTGGAATGAGCGTTCCGTGGCGGAATGTTTGTTCTTGTTTTGATCTGTGTGACTCCGCCCACTGCCACCGTTGGCGGGAAACAGTTCGTACTGCATCCATGGAAACGGCAAATGAACTGTCCAGAGATCGGAGATTCTACCAGACAAAAACAAACTGTGAGGATTTACTTTTGAGAACATTCATTACTTCTGTCCATCATAGTACAAGTTTACTGTTGGTACACGTTCACATTGCAAAAGAATATCAGTATGTGTATTTTACAGTCATTCCGTGCTTTAAATTGCAACTTGTCAAGGAAGTTGAAGTCTTAAGGTGCGTTCCATTCGACAGGGTCCCTACGCAGTGTTAACTGCTCCCTACTGAACACGGTTTATCATTTGAAGTGGACTTGAAGCACTGACTTCCTGTGAAGTGATATCGATGTTCCCTTATTCCCTATGCCGTTTGCAGTGCCCTTCGAACTGAACATGTTTGTTCCCTTCGAATTGGAATCTCACTTAAGATGGCGAAATACCCTGTGAAGTCCACTTCGCAGTCCACTTACGGTCGAATGGAACGCACCTTTAGAATTTTTTTCTGTCATTTCTTTAGTTTTTCTTGTGGAAACATGAACAGTTGGCTTCTCGGTAACGGTTAGTGAAAGTTTGTTTTGACCTTTCCGTCCAGTGTACATGTAAATATTGCCTGAAATCATACACGAAAGCCCTAGTTTTATTAACAGTTTCGACAACACACGAAACTGTTAATGAGCGTTTGTGTGTGTGGTGTGCTGTGTGTGAATGTGACGTTCAGCAGTTTTGCCGCCATCTTGTGGTTTTGTGTTTGAGGGACGCATGAATTCTATTGGTTTAATGTGAATAAAGTTTTCTCATTGTACGTCATCAGTGTCTGTTTCATTACAAGTAGTCAGATTAGGTCAGGAATTAAGATGCAATTATCTGAAAATAAAAACATGCTTTGAAAAATAATGTGATGTGTTTGAAGCTTAGCCTAAAATGTAAATGGGTAAATCTCTGGGCCATATAATAAGTATATGTATTGTGTGTGTGTGTGTGTGTGTGTGTGTGTGTGTGTGTGCGTTGGTGCGACCGGATTATGAGGACAAAACACATGGATACATACCGACTCTATGAGGACATACCGTAACTATGAGGACAGCACTAATGTCCTCATAAGTCGAGCAATGTAGAAAGGCTTATAAGGTAGCGATAAACCACCTCCCGCTTTTTCTCAATATGTCCTTATAAATCCGTTGTACCCGTTTTTCAGTGTGTATCAGTGTATGCTCAGAGTGTATAATCTCCCTCTATGTGAAATTCGATGGTACTGCAGTATCATACACATTTCATACACCCAGACCACGCCCAAGCGCGATTCATTGGTGGAACGCTGGAATCCTCGTCAGTGATTGGCTGCTTTTCACGTCCGTCAAAGTCAGCGCGCCGCGCCTGCGCATTTGATCTCTATCGCCTGTGTGTTGTGACGGTGTGATTAATCAGAAGAGTCAAGAGAAGATTATTAATTAGCAGAATTCGAGCGAAGTTGACGAGCTATTGCGGGAGATTATCACGAGGAAGGTAAGTGTGTTTATTTATATTCTACCTTTATGGAGTTAAGTGTTATGAGTCAGTTTTAAATAACGTTAGTTACATTATTTTAAACATGGCCGCTAATATCAGTCCATAGGCATTTAAAAAGGGCGTCCCCAAACATCTTGCACATGCTATTCACTTTTTTTTGTTTTGTTTATTACAAACGAAATTCTCTTGTTGTTCATAGACTTATTTTTAAAATAAATCAAATCTATGTTGTCATCACGATGACTGGTAAAGTTGAGTGGATGAATTTACAGTTTAATACAGTAAGATACAGAAATATATTAATAAGCAGAAACGAAAAATAATGTAAAAGTAGGCTATACTTTCGTTAATGTAACGTTACTGTCAATAGAATTATGTGACAAAACTATTTAACTTTAGTTGATTTATTTTAGGGCTGGATATTAGCAGATATTTTATGATTCCATTCAATTTTAATTCACATTCTTTCGATTCTATTTTTATTGATTATTTTAATGTTTAAATAGGTGTAATACCTGTAACATTTTCTAAAACTTTCTCTCTATAGTTAATTTTTCTAACGTAACGAGTTTAGCTTTATTTGATCTGAGGCACCACATTAAGGAGTGATAAAATGGTATTAAAATGGACTGAATTTGAAATCAGTGACTGTTTCTTATCAAAAGTAACAAGTCTTAAAAACCTATTTATGTGTGAAATGTTGTATATATTGATATAGACTACAGTCTGACGATAATGAACTGTATATTATGAAGCTTATAGGCTACATACTAATTATGTTTTCTGGAATGTTTTCAGTCAACATGTTAAGAAAGAAGCGAATAAAACCTGAGCAGGATGCAAAAGAACACATATTGTCGGATAAAGACAAAGCCTTCATTGAGGGACGACAAATCAACACATTCAAAGGTAAATTGATTGTGCACCACAAGGCAATTTGACCATGTTCAGACTGCAGGCAAATTAAATCATAAAGTAGACAAGACATGCATTTGAAAGAATGAAAAGTACCCCTATTGCTGGCAGTCTGGACATGATCTTTCACATTCACATATTTAAGCTGCTCATTTTCGTAAAGGTTAAGAGATTAATCAATTTTTATTATTATTATTATTATTGTTACTTTTAAATAAATACTTAAAACTGTGTATACAGTAGGGATGTCAATTTTCACAATTTTACAATTAATATCACAGTGAAAACCAATGCTTAATTTTTTATTTTTTTTATTTCCTGCACCTCATATTACAGTACACATTTTTACAGGTTTTAACTCTTTAAAATGATAGGTTGTTTAACTGTGTAACATATAGGTGCTCTTGGGTTCATGTTTTATTTTTATTATTAATTTAATTTTATTGTTTATATTATTTTGCCCTTTTAGGGAGAGGTGTGTTTGCACTTGAGCACATTGAACCATCCACCTTTGTTGTTGAATACCGTGGGATTCTCTCTCAAAGTAAACATGTTAAAGATGTTCAAGGCAACTACTTGTTCAACTTCACATGGAATGAAACACGTTATTGGTAAGCTGGCTGTTTCTTTTTAGTTATGATTATGATGATTATTATTATTACAATATAGGGCTGCACGATTTGGGGAAAATGTTATATTGGAATTTTTGAGGTCAATATTGCAAATGCGATATAATAAACAAATAGTTTCATGAGTCGACTTGCTTGGTTCTAAAGCAAAATGCACACACAGATTAGTGATAATTCTGAAATGTGTATTTCTCAACTCAAACTAGCAACAACAACTAAATGATTGATAACATCTATAATGATCAATAAGCCATTGATTTCTGGAAAAAAATGAATTGTACTGTATTCTGGCGCGCGGTCTGTGCATGCACATGATACTGGCACACGCCTTTCTGTGAGTCACAGTCGGATGCGCGCTTTCTTTTGACTTGTCTCGCGTGAATGGTTTTAAGCAATCGCATGAGAGCATTATCATGTAACACTAGCCAAAGGATGACAAAAAATAACAGATGCTGGGTTAATTGCGTTAACAGCCCATTGTTTATTTTACATAAAATTGCAGCATTTTGATCGCATAAGCTTGACATAGTGATTACAATTTTGATATGGTTAATCATGCCGCACTATTACAATAGCAGATTTGCTAGGGTTCTCATAACATTAGGAACATATTAGTTAGAGATAATCAATAACATGTGGAGATGCACCGATTGATCGGCTGGTGATCGGAATCAACCAATTTCCACGTGATCGGCCGTGATCGGCGACCGGCCAGTCAGTCTGACATATGCCGATTTTATTTATATTAAATATATCATTTTTTTCTAGTTGTTTATTGGATGTGAAAAGGAAATGGTTCTTCCATAACACTGCACTTCAGATGTGTGTGAATTTCCCACACCAGGAGAACTTGATATAGTTCTGTTTTATAGCAATTATCTTTTCAAAAATGTTCTATGCAAAATGTTCAATTAAAGAGAAGATAGAAAATAAATATTTGTGTGTAATGTGAAGTGATTTGAAAAAATGAAATCAGAATCGGCTAAAATCGGCAGGTCAAACTCAAGGAAAAATCGGAAATTGGGATTGGCCTAGAAAATTGTAATCGGTTCATCTCTAATAACATGGTTATTGTTCATCTGGGGTATTATTATTTTTTACCTTATGTGGATCATCTGACCTATTAAATTCTTAGGAAGTCAAGTTAACTTTCACAATGTGTATTTGAGTATAAAAGTATATAGGTTAAATAAGCCAGCCAAGGATAGCCTAACCCAAATGTTCAACTAGAACCTTATATTCTTACTGCACTATTTTTTATCACCACATAGATGCAACAAAAGAGGACACTTCGCTTGGTCCACTTCGGTTGGTGAATGATGACAAAAATCCAAATTGCAAAGTCAAGACAATCATTGTTGATGGAAGGCCACACCTGTGTCTGTGTACTATAAGACATATCTTTCCAGATGAAGAGGTCACATACAACTATGGGGATTCCTCTTGGCCTTGGCGTTTAAGGGTGAGTCTCTCAAAGACTTTATCACTGAAAGTCAACCATGTTCTGTATTTCATGAATTTTAGTTTTTTATATGATGCAGATTATTAAAAAAAAAAAAGTCTGCATTTCTGCTTTATTTTCATAACTCGTGTGTTGGGGGATGGGCATGACACTGACCTGAAATGTAAGGACAGTTCTCCACTACGAGGACCGTCATGTCAGGGTTAGGGTTTGAGGAAAAGATGATGCTTTGGGTATGTGTCAGCTGCTGCTTTATTGTGGATAAGCTGTAGACCCAATATGCACTGGAAAGGAAATGATATGTTGATGTTTATAATGTTATCTGACTTTATAGACAAGATCTGTGTGTCAGCCTTCTCCTCCTCACGTTTTATATGTCTGCTTTGTGCACGACGGAGCCATGAAAGGGCAACTAGATATTAAGACTTTGGTTGATTCTAGAATTAGTTGCATTGACCAATTAGCAAACATCCTTGCCTCAGTGTTGTACCTGTCTTTCTCATATTACAGGAATTGTGTGACGAGACATCAGTGGCTGTGACTGAATGCAGTGTGAATCCTTCCTCATCAGTGAAACAGAAAGTAAGTGAACGGATGTTCCTTCATTGTTTTCTTCTCTTTGACACAGGCAATGTTAGAGGGTTAGTTCACCCAAAAATGAAAATTCTGTCAGTATTTACTCACCCTCATGTTGTTCCAAACCTATATGTGTTTATTTGTTCTGCTGAACACAAAGGAAGATATTTGTATATGTATTTTTTCCTACTATGGTAGTCAATGGGGAATGAGATCTGTTTGATTAAAACATTCTTCCAAATATCTTCCTTTTTGTTCAGCAGAACAAATAAACACATAGAGGTTTGGAACAACATGAGGGTGAGTAAATACTGCCTGAAATTTCATTTTTGGGTGAACTAACCCTTTAAGTGTAGGATGGTTGGGCATCATACTCGACTGGTTGACGTGGACTGTCGTCTTAAAGACGCTGTTGTGACGTCTCAAATTCGAGTAAAATGTACCTTGCTCAGTTCATACATTTTCATAACTCGTGTGTTGGGGGATGGGCATGACACTGACCTGAAATGTAAGGACAGTTCTCCACTACGAGGACCGTCATGTCAGGGTTAGGGTTTTAGGAAAAGATGTTGCTTTGGGTATGTGTCAGCTGCTGCTTTATTGTGGATAAGCTGTAGAACCAATATGCACTGGAAAGGAAATGGTATGTTGATGTTTATAATGTAATGTGTTTTGGATTTATTTGACTTTATAGACAAGATATGCATGTCAGCCTTCTCCTCCTCACATGTTTTATATGTCTGCTTTGTGCACGACGGAGCCATGAAAGGGCCACTAGATATTAAGACTTTGGTTGATTCTAGAATTAGTTGCGGTGACCAATTAGCAAACATCCTTGCCTCAGTGTTGTACCTGTCTTTCTCATAATTACAGGAATTGTGTGACGAGACATCAGTGGCTGTGACTGTGTAGGAGTGAGGGGTAGGGGGAAGGGGTAAGGGGTGGGGGTAGGAGTGAGGGTAGGGGAAGGGTAAGGGTGGGGAAGGGGTGGGGAAGGGTAAGGGGAGGGGTGAGGGAAGGGCTGAGGTAGGGGGAAGGGGAAGGGTAAGACGGATAATTGGGATTCAGCCTAAGACTTTGGTTGATTCTAGAATTAGTTGCAGTGACCAATTAGCAAACATCCTTGCCTCAGTGTTGTACCTGTCTTTCTCATATTACAGGAATTGTGTGACGAGACATCAGTGGCTGTGACTGAATGCAGTGTGAATCCTTCCTCATCAGTGAAACAGAAAGTAAGTGAACGGATGTTCCTTCATTGTTTCTTCTCTTTGACACAGGCAATGTTAGAGGTGTTCAGATTCTGTCAGTATTTACACCCTCATGCGTTCAAACCTGTTTATTTGTTCTGTGAACACAGAAGGAATGTATATGTATGGTAGTCAATGGGGAATGAGATCTGTTTGCATTCTTCCAATATCTTCGTGTTCAGCAGAACTCACATAGAGGTTTGGAACAACATGAGTAAATACTGACTGAAATTTCATTTTTGGGTGAACTAACCCTTTAAGTGTAGGATGGTTGGGCATCATACTGGACTGGTTGACGTGGACTGTCGTCTTAAAGACGCTGTTGTGACGTCTCAAGTGTAAAATGTACCTTGCTCAGTTCATACATTTTCATAACTCGTGTGTTGGGGGATGGGCATGACACTGACCTGAAATGTAAGGACAGTTCTCCACTACGAGGACCGTCATGTCAGGGTTAGGGTTTGAGGAAAAGCTGTTGCTTTGGGTATGTGTCAGCTGCTGCTTTATTGTGGATAAGCTGTAGAACCAATATGCACTGGAAAGGAAATGATATGTTGATGTTTATAATGTTATCTGACTTTATAGACAAGATCTGTGTGTCAGCCTTCTCCTCCTCACATGTTTTATATGTCTGCTTTGTGCACGACGAAGCCATGAAAGGGCCACTAGATATTAAGACTTTGGTTGATTCTAGAATTAGTTGCGGTGACCAATTAGCAAACATCCTTGCCTCAGTGTTGTACCTGTCTTTCTCATAATTACAGGAATTGTGTGACGAGACATCAGTGGCTGTGACTGAATGCAGTGTGAATCCTTCCTCATCAGTGAAACAGAAAGTAAGTGAACGGATGTTCCTTCATTGTTTTCTTCTCTTTGACACAGGCAATGTTAAAGGGTTAGTTCACCTAAAAATGAAAATTCAGTCAGTATTTACTCACCCTCATGTTGTTCCAAACCTCTATGTGTTTATTTGTTCTGCTGAACACAAAGGAAGATATTTGTATATGTATTTTTTCCTACTATGGTAGTCAATGGGGAATGAGATCTGTTTGATTAAAACATTCTTCCAAATATCTTCCTTTGTGTTCAGCAGAACAAATAAACACATAGAGGTTTGGAACAACATGAGGGTGAGTAAATACTGACTGAAATTTCATTTTTGGGTGAACTAACCCTTTAAGTGTAGGATGGTTGGGCATCATACTCGACTGGTTGACGTGGACTGTCGTCTTAAAGACGCTGTTGTGACGTCTCAAATTCGAGTAGAATGTACCTTGCTCAGTTCATACATTTTCATAACTCGTGTGTTGGGGGATGGGCATGACACTGACCTGAAATGTAAGGACAGTTCTCCACTACGAGGACCGTCATGTCAGGGTTAGGGTTTGAGGAAAAGATGATGCTTTGGGTATGTGTCAGCTGCTGCTTTATTGTGGATAAGCTGTAGAACCAATATGCACTGGAAAGGAAATGGTATGTTGATGTTTATAATGTTATGTGTTTTGGATTTATTTTACTGTTTTATATGTCTGCTTTGTGCACGACGGAGCCATGAAAGGGCTACTAGATATTAAGGCTGAATCCCAATTCTCTGTCTTACCCCTTCCCCTTCGTCTTACCCCCAGGCCTTGTCCCTCGAAATCGAGTGGTAAGCGCTAGTGCAAACATACCCCTATGAAATGAGACACCACTCGGTTACGTCATCTTACATCGTCCTTGGCGTCTATCACCAGGGGCGAAAAGTGTTGATCACAAACTTCTCGTAACTTTTAAGATGCCGTCTGCAAGTATGTTTATGTCGATTGCGTTGGTACTGGAGATTTATTTGCGATTGTCAGCAACAAATACAGGACAGTATATTTAAAGCACGTATTGATGTCTCCAGGGTGACCATACAACGTCATCCTTTTCCCGGACATGTCACCCGGATTTCGGGATCGCTGAAAATTTCCGGGATTCGCTTTTGCTTTCTGCCTTCACTATTCATTATGTTTACATGCACAAGGTGTTGTTTCAATCGGACTGAATTCATTCATTTAAATCTGTGAATCTAAATGGATTGTTTATCTAATATTCCCGTGTTTTCGTCTCAGTCGGGATTCGTTTGAAGCTGAATGCATCATCTGAGAAGCTGATCACGTACGTGTCAGTGTCAAATAATGTACACATAATGAATGGCGACTGTAGAAAGCCAAAGCTGAATACCGTAAATTTTGGGTGATCTTGAAATGTGGGACTGATTGTGCAAATCAGCAATGTAAAGTTAGCATAGCCTAGCGTAGCAAAGTAGCGATTTTTAAAAACTTTAAAAACAACATAGTTGCAAATATAGCCTATATGTACTGTGTAGAGCACAAAACAAGACTGTCATATTTTTTTTTTATCAATCATGTAAGTGAAAAAACTTTAATTTATGGGACACTCTGGATGTTATGCCCGCCATCGTTGCCAGTTGCGCAGTGCATTTCTTACCCCTTGGTTTCAAGTAAGCTCATGAAAATTCTTGGTCTTAAGTGGTATATACCCCTTCCCCTTACCCCTAGATCAAAATGAAAATTGGGATGGCGCTTCCTCTCACGTGAACGTGCAAAACTGAGGGGGGAAGGGGGTAGGGGTGAGGGGAAGGGGTAAGGGGTGGGGTGTAGGGGTAGGGGTAGGGGTGAGGGGTAGAGGTGAGGGGAATGGGGAAGGAGAAAGGGTAAGACGGATAATTGGGATTCAGCCTAAGACTTTGGTTGATTCTAGAATTAGTTGCAGTGACCAATTAGCAAACATCCTTGCCTCAGTGTTGTACCTGTCTTTCTCATAATTACAGGAATTGTGTGACGAGACATCAGTGGCTGTGACTGAATGCAGTGTGAATCCTTCCTCATCAGTGAAACAGAAAGTAAGTGAACGGATGTTCCTTCATTGTTTTCTTCTCTTTGACACGGGCAATGTTAAGTGTAGGATGGTTGGGCATCATACTGGACTGGTTGACGTGGACTGTCGTCTTAAAGACGCTGTTGTGACGTCTCAAATTCGAGTAAAATGTACCTTGCTCAGTTCATACATTTTCATAACTCGTGTGTTGGGGGATGGGCATGACACTGACCTGAAATGTAAGGACAGTTCTCCACTACGAGGACCGTCATGTCAGGGTTAGGGTTTGAGGAAAAGATGATGCTTTGGGTATGTGTCAGCTGCTGCTTTATTGTGGATAAGCTGTAGAACCAATATGCACTGGAAAGGAAATGATATGTTGATGTTTATAATGTTATCTGACTTTATAGACAAGATCTGTGTGTCAGCCTTCTCCTCCTCACGTTTTATATGTCTGCTTTGTGCACGACGGAGCCATGAAAGGGCCACTAGATATTAAGACTTTGGTTGATTCTAGAATTAGTTGCGGTGACCAATTAGCAAACATCCTTGCCTCAGTGTTGTACCTGTCTTTCTCATATTACAGGAATTGTGTGACGAGACATCAGTGGCTGTGACTGAATGCAGTGTGAATCCTTCCTCAACAGTGAAACAGAAAGTAAGTGAACGGATGTTCCTTCATTGTTTTCTTCTCTTTGACACAGGCAATGTTAGAGGGTTAGTTCACCCAAAAATGAAAATTCTGTCAGTATTTACTCACCCTCATGCTGTTCCAAACCTATATGTGTTTATTTGTTCTGCTGAACACAAAGGAAGATATTTGTATATGTATTTTTTCCTACTATGGTAGTCAATGGGGAATGAGATCTGTTTGATTAAAACATTCTTCCAAATATCTTCCTTTTTGTTCAGCAGAACAAATAAACACATAGAGGTTTGGAACAACATGAGGGTGAGTAAATACTGCCTGAAATTTCATTTTTGGGTGAACTAACCCTTTAAGTGTAGGATGGTTGGGCATCATACTCGACTGGTTGACGTGGACTGTCGTCTTAAAGACGCTGTTGTGACGTCTCAAATTCGAGTAAAATGTACCTTGCTCGGTTCATACATTTTCATAACTCGTGTGTTGGGGGATGGGCATGACACTGACCTGAAATGTAAGGACAGTTCTCCACTACGAGGACCGTCATGTCAGGGTTAGGGTTTGAGGAAAAGATGTTGCTTTGGGTATGTGTCAGCTGCTGCTTTATTGTGGATAAGCTGTAGAACCAATATGCACTGGAAAGGAAATGGTATGTTGATGTTTATAATGTTATCTGACTTTATAGACAAGATCTGTGTGTCAGCCTTCTCCTCCTCACGTTTTATATGTCTGCTTTGTGCACGACGGAGCCATGAAAGGGCCACTAGATATTAAGACTTTGGTTGATTCTAGAATTAGTTGCGGTGACCAATTAGCAAACATCCTTGCCTCAGTGTTGTACCTGTCTTTCTCATAATTACAGGAATTGTGTGACGAGACATCAGTGGCTGTGACTGAATGCAGTGTGAATCCTTCCTCATCAGTGAAACAGAAAGTAAGTGAATGGATGTTCCTTCATTGTTTTCTTCTCTTTGACACAGGCAATGTTAAGTGTAGGATGGTTGGGCATCATACTGGACTGGTTGACGTGGACTGTCGTCTTAAAGACGCTGTTGTGACGTCTCAAATTCGAGTAGAATGTACCTTGCTCAGTTCATACATTTTCATAACTCGTGTGTTGGGGGATGGGCATGACACTGACCTGAAATGTAAGGACAGTTCTCCACTACGAGGACCGTCATGTCAGGGTTAGGGTTTGAGGAAAAGCTGTTGCTTTGGGTATGTGTCAGCTGCTGCTTTATTGTGGATAAGCTGTAGAACCAATATGCACTGGAAAGGAAATGGTATGTTGATGTTTATAATGTTATCTGACTTTATAGACAAGATCTGCATATCAGCCTTCTCCTCCTCACATGTTTTATATGTCTGCTTTGTGCACGACGGAGCCATGAAAGGGCCACTAGATATTAAGACTTTGGTTGATTCTAGAATTAGTTGCAGTGACCAATTAGCAAACATCCTTGCAGGCAGGCAGCAGAAAAATCAGAGGTCGATATAACAGTCCGAGTCGAGGCAGGCAGCAGAAGAATCAGAGGTCGATATAACAGTCCGAGTCGAGGCAGGCAGCAGAAGAATCAGAGGTCGATATAACAGTCCGAGTCGAGGCATGCAGCAGAACAATCAGAAGTCGGTAGAAACAATCCAAGGTCAGTAACAGTTCAGCAAACACAGAAAAAACGCTCAGAAATTGTATGCCGGGCAATGCAATACCTCTCAATGAACTTGAGTGAACGGGGTTTATATGGGTGCATGAGCTGCAGGTGTTTGTAATCGGTCTCAGGTAAGCGGCATGATGGGATGTTGAGTTCATGATGGGTAATATTCTGGTGAAAGTGTCCTACAGTGGTGAAGAGGAGGTGTAGTGGAAGCCTACTCTGTAACAGTAGTAGGGAAAGGGAACTGGGGTCTGATCTTCGTACACCGCTAACAGTGTAAATGTGGTCCTTTTTGTGTTGCACAGGACCAGAGACTAGTTTCCCTGTGTGCTTATCTGCTGATGTTTCACATGGTCCGAAACTGTTTGGATTGTTGGGCTGGAATACATTTTAATTGTTGCTTTTTACCCCTCAGGAAAAAGACAAATGAATCAGGATGAAACTGAGAACTCCAGAGGTATTTAAACATTTGGGAATATTAAAGTTATTCCATGTACATACATATAGGTATACATATGTGTATGTATATGTTTGTTTGTTTGTTTGTTTTACAGAGACCAAATCAAGGAGAATAGCGAAAAGGCCATGGAGCCCAAATGAAGTTAATGCTTTCGTGAAACATTTCCATATTTCAAAGGGACACCTAGCAACAAAGAGCTGTGCAAGACTGCAGAGGACCCTGTCCTGAGAGAAAGAATGGCCCAAAATATAAGGCATTTCGTGAGGAACCGAGGTTTGATGTTGAAAAAGAAATCTTCTTAGAGTTCTTCGAGAGATCAGTATTGCCTTCCATTAAAGGTGGTATCGCTGATACCACCTTTAATGTCTGTGCGTTTTGTTCTGTAAAGTTCTCTAAAGTGTTGTTGGGCCAGAAGAGTGTTCAAGACATCCTTTTATATACTTTTATTAAACACTGTTTTGAAAGAAATGTACAAATACATGCATTTACTGGAAGGCATTATGTGCTTATTAGATCTCAGTTGTTGAGCCTTCTTTTTTACCATTTGCAAATAAAAAAAAATGCCCTTTCAGTTTAATTTTGTTAGTTTTATTGGCTTTCTAGTTGCATTTCTTCATCTAATAGCCCTTCAACTAGTCTTCAGTGAAGTGTAAAACCTGCTGATCTTTGATCACTGACTTTTCTCCAACCAGGCTCATTTTGCACCACATTTGTATATGTTGGCTGATATAGCTACAGCACATGGTAGCACTTCATTTCGTGTGCGTATTACTTTTACAGGTTTAGTGGCAGCAAAACGATGCACAATCATTCGTGAATTCATTCTTTAATGTAGAATAGTTGATTTGGTTTTACTCTAATACAGGTACTCCTGCTATGTGTGGACTTAATAGTGATGTCCATTTAAACCCAGTTTGTCCTCATAATCAAGGGTTAGTCAGGTGGTTGTGTGTGTGTGTGTGAGAGAGTGAGGTCCAGTTAAACCCAAAATGTCCTCATAATCAAGGGTTAGTCAGGTGGTTGTGTGTGTTTGAGTGTGTGAGAGTGAGGTCCTGTTAAACCCAAAATGTCCTCATAATCAAGGGTTAGTCAGGTGGTTGTGTGTGTGTGTGTGTGTGATCGAGGTCCAGTTAAACCCAAAATGTCCTCATAATCAAGGGTTAGTCAGGTGGTTGTGTGTGTGTGTGTGTGTGATCGAGGTCCTGTTAAACCCAAAATGTCCTCATAATCAAGGGTTAGTCAGGTGGTTGTGTGTGTGTGTGATCGAGGTCCAGTTAAACCCAAAATGTCCTCATAATCAAGGGTTAGTCAGGTGGTTGTGTGTGTGTGAGAGTGAGGTCCAGTTAAACCCAAAATGTCCTCATAATCAAGGGTTAGTCAGGTGGTTGTGTGTGTTTGAGTGTGTGAGAGTGAGGTCCTGTTAAACCCAAAATGTCCTCATAATCAAGGGTTAGTCAGGGTTGTGTGTGTGTGTGTGTGTGTGTGTGAGAGTGAGGTCCTGTTAAATCCAAAATGTCCTCATAATCAAGGGTTAGTCAGGTGGTTGTGTGTGTTTTAGTGTGTGAGAGTGAGGTCCTGTTAAACCCAAAATGTCCTCATAATCAAGGGTTAGTCAGGGTTGTGTGTGTGTGTATGCATGATTCATATGGTTATTAATGTCCAGTTAAAACCAAATGGTCAGCAATGTTCATTTAGATATAAAACTAAGTCTTAAACAATCTTCTCTTTTCACATTAACAAAACCCAAACCCAATCAACTGGAAATATTTAGCTTTATTCAAAACTATCTTTAGACAAAACTTTGTCATTTGTCAGTGATGGTTAAGTAGTAAACTTTCCAATTGTTTTTGTTTGTTTTTTTGTTTTTTTGTTTCTTAATTTTTAATTTTAAAATATATCCATATTTATTTCACTTTCCCTCTTCTCTCTTTGCTCTTCACTCACTTCATACCTGCTTAATCTCACATTACAAACTCAGGTTAGTTTTCTGAAATCTCTCTTAAACTTTAAGCCAGGTTGAACAATTGCTAATAATTATTATTTTATTTATTTATTTATTTATTTTATATGCTGGTATTGAAACAGACTTAAGTGATGTGGCACTGCCATGGATAAAGTTAAACTATGATGCTCATCTATAATAATGTGTGTACTAGTAGATAATGTCCAGATAAACCAGGTTAGTCCCCATAATTAAGGGTTAGCTGTGTGTGTTTGTGTATGTGAGTGATGTCCAGATAAACCGGGGTTGTCCTCATAATTAAGGGTCAGATGGGTGTGTGTGTGTGTATGTGAGTGATGTCCAGATAAACCAGGGTGGTCCTCATAAATCATAATTAAACCAAGAAACGCCCACTCCTGCCCTGTCCTCATAGTGCTGTAGTTTGTCAGGTCTTCATATTTCCAGACTGGTTCATTAGAATGAAATTCTGAGTAGTCAGAATTTTACCCCATGCCATAAGGAGCAGTTTAATATTTCTTATTAATCTCTATGACAAAGGGAAAGGTGGGTCCCCATAAACCATGATGGGACTTTTTTGGGGAAAAAGTCCTTATAAACCACCCGTACCAGTATGTGTGTGTGTGTGTGTGTGTGTGTGTGTGTGTGTGTGTGTGTGTGTGTGTGTGTGTGTGTGTGTGTGTGTGTGTGTGTGTGTGTGTGTGTGTGTGTGTTATTAGCCTATTTAGGCCTTTTCATGATGCATTTAGGGGGAGATGTCATGTAACTATCTGTGAATATCACAATGCAAAAAGACAAACACTTGGGGGTCAAGGTCAAATATGATGCAACTTCTCCATGAAGGTCACTCACGTCAATCTTGTATTTTCTATAGTGAACTTCATAAGCTCTTAGCAAAACAACAATGTTATGAAACGCATAAAGGCCTGTCACGCATGCCGAATCATGCACACGCATGTCTGAAGGCATCTCGCTTCACTAATGAACACAGATGGAGGAGAACGTGCTCGGCCTCGAGGCCAGAGGGTCCAGTGCAGCGCTGATGCATCATGGGAACATCTAGAGATGCAGCTGTAAGCTAAACTGGTCAGTTCTTATCTTGTCAGATCATGTTGATTAAACTCCCAGCACTTTTCTTTGTTATTTCAAGGAAACAACATCACAGATATACACCACAAAACTAAGTAAAGGTTCACAAAATTATGTTTATTTACATAATAATTTACATTTTTGGATAATAAGAAATGCATTTATTGTAAGTTAAGATCCCATATGTAGTATAAAGGTCCCAAAAATCCTGGATAATAGACATGTTGATCAGCATTAAATATGAATGATACGACATCTGATGCATAAACCGTCAGAAAAGAACAATTAAGTTTTGTTTTCCACTCCTGCACCCTAAGATACATTTCTTGGATATTTCATATGTGTACTATATTTGACTATAATAATATGCATATTCAAAAGAAGTGTCTTCTGCTCACCAAGGCTGCATTTATTTGATCATGAATACAGTAAAAACAGTAATATTGTGAAATATGGCTACTGTTCAAAATAACTGTTTTCTATTTGAAAGAATTTATTTTAAAACACAATCATCACTCCAGTCGTCAGTGTCACATGATTCTTCAGAAATCATTCATATGCTGATTTGCCCCTCAAGACACATTTATGATTATTATCATAGTTGAAAACAGATCAGTTTTTGTGGAAAAGCATTTATTTATTGTGTGCATTTAGTGCTGAATAAAACTATTATTATTTTTTGTAATAGTAGTGTATGGCATCAATCATTCATCGTGAAAATAGAATTGAAAAAAAACTTTTTGTATGATGTGTAAATACCATTCACAAACCTAACTGCAAAGTATTTGCTTATGATTTATAGTTATTATTATCATCCCGCCAATAAAAATAGCTCTATATTATAGAACAAGTTTTATGTATTTTTCTTTTTTCATTACTTTTTCCTTTTCTCTGTATCTCCACATTTGCGTTTATTAAGTGTTATTTTGTACTGAATAATAATTTGCAATACATTAAAAAAGTAAAATAAAATTTAAATGAACAGAATTCCCGTATAAAGGCTGATATGCATAAATATGAGCGTTTGCACTTTAAATGTTTACGTAAATTGTAATTTTTCTTATATTATTACTTTTTCCCCTTCTCTGAATCCCCACATGTTCATGTTCATTGTTCTGTACACTGCAAAAAAAAATATTGATGGTTTAACTTAAAAAAGTAAGTCACCTGGTTGCCTTAAAATTTTAAGTTCATTGAATGGAGAAAAAGTGAGTTAATACAATGAAGGAGATTAATTTAATCATCAGAAACTCAAAATTATATGTTATCTGAACTAAATAAATTATTTAAGTTGATTTGACAAAAGAAAAAATGTTGTGATTACTACACTGTAAAAACTATTGTTGGTTTAACTTAAAAAAGTAAGTAACCTGGGTTGCCTGAAAATTTTAAGTTCATTGAACTGGAAAAAGTGAGTTAATACAATGACGTAGATTAATTTAATCATCAGAAACTCAAAATAATAAGTTATCTCAACTAAATAAATTATTATAAAGTTGATTTGACAAAAGAAAATATGTTGTGATAATAACAAATCTTGAAAATATTTTTTACAGTGAATTTCCCTTTGTAATGAATTATAACTTGCAATAATATATACTGTGTATATATATAAAGGAATAGAATTTAAATGAACAGAATTCCTCTGGATTTCCATATAAATTCCCAATATTGACATGAATATGAGCGTGGTTATGGAGAGCCGTCTCTGTTTATGCGACTTTGCTTCGTTTAAAAAAATAGTAATCAGTGAAAACAGAATGTAAATGAACAGAATTCCCATGTAAAGGCTGATTGGAGTGAGTTATGGATAGGCGTCTGTCGCGAGCCTCTGTTTATGCGACACCGGCTCATCCCGCTCTGCTCGGTCGTCTTCTCCCAACGGCATCAACTGGAACCTCGGCTTGCTCTTCTTCTTGATCCCGACCGGATAAGTTGGGAAAAGCCTGATTTTGGGGTGTTTGTGCGGGTCGCACTCCTCTCGGGGCGCCGGCGCCTCCTGCTGGCTGGCCCTCGGCTCTCCCAGGAGCTCCCTCACTTCTCCCGAAGCGTCTTTCCTCAGGTAATGGTAGGGCTTCTTCCCACAGTTGTCCCGTATATTCCCGTTGGCTCCGTACTCGCGGACCAGAACATCGATTAGAGCCGTGTGTGTGTGGATGGCGGCGATGTGTAGCGCGGTGTATCCGCCGTTAGACTTAGCGTCGATGTCCACGCCGTGTCCTTTTCTCCGGGAAACCTGAATAATGTTGCGGACCATGTCGGTGTTCCCACTCTTGGCGGCCCAGTGTAACGCCGTGAACCCGGACGTGAAGTCCTTCTTCTCCGCGAGCTGAGCGTCCTTCAGCAGGAGCCCGTACACATGACTCCACTGTCCCGCCGCGGACTTCACCAGCCACTCGTGCTCCGCAGGGTCCAGCGAGAACGGCTCCGACTGCTCCTTCGGCTCATCCGCTGGTTTAGGGGTCTTGAAGTGTCTACGAACCTGAGGAGAGTCGCTAACTTCTCCATCTGTGGTCGTTCTCCTCCACTGTCGTTCTCGTTCAGAGTCCGTCGTTCCCGAGGGATTCCTGCGAGTCTGATCTTGAGGGATTCGTAAAGGAAGTGCACATGGTTTGTTCGTCTTCTCCGCTCTATGTTTGTCATCAGACTTCAGTGGAACGGTGAAATTTAAAGACCTTTTAGGTGTAAAGTCCACATTCGTACATCTTCCCAAAGCACTTTCTATTGGAGAGATAACTTCAGTCTCTGACTTCTTGCTTTCTTCCTTCTCATCTTCCTCTGGATCTTCATTATCATCGCTTGAGGCTTTTAGCAGGTGATGGTATACCTTTCTCAGGACTACATACTTGGTTTCCTGGAATTCTTTCACAAAGGCAATGTTGTTCACACACGCCTTGAAGAGATCTCGGTTCTGCTTCTTCTCAGCCGGATCAGCGCAGTTTAAATGCTCTTTAAACTTGCTGAGCAGCTCTGAGTTTTTTACCTTTCCTCTGCCTTCTAATAATGTGTTTAAAATCGCCTCTTGGGTCAGAGCCATTTCTGAATTAGATAGAAACATACATACTTTATTCTTTCTGTCGACTGAGACTCCTGGAGTGTAGCCACACCTTCACCTGTCTTCCGGAAACAACACGTAAGAAGAAGGAGAATCAGACGTGGGTGGGGGCGGGGCTTTTAAAAAGGTTTCATTTAATTAAAATCTTTTTTTTTTTAAATCAAGAAGATGGGTAGACACATAGCGAGTTACTTTTAAATTGTTAAATTGTTTAAAATTAAATTAAATCAGTAATAATAAGTTGGCTACAGCATTATAAAATTACAAAACGCTAAACTCAATAACGTTAAATCAACAAAGTGCATGTATCGTCCCTGTGCGATGAACATGTTCAGTTAAGTCATTATCACTTGCGTAATTATTTATTTATAAGCTCTATCTTGTCGGGTCTTAAGAAAAGACACTCTTGAAGCAATTGAGTTTCCAGGAAGAAGACATATTGAAGTGTTTTTGCGAAATTACGAATCCTAGTATGGCAAAATATTGTCTCATGAATATTAATTCCGTCGTCTCGAGCAGCTAAACAATCATTCTGATTCGTCCGGTCATGACACAAATTCTTTCAGTTTAAAATACATTATTTTTTATTATAATGACGATAGAAACAAACCCCTAGACTACATTGTTCATTTCTTTATTTTATATGGCAAATTATTCATTCATAAACAAATGTTTACCAATATTCTGTCCTATCCTTATTTTGACACTCGCTCTTCTTAAATCTCTTGGTTATATAAATAATAATAAAATCGCTAAGATATTAAATATTGTGAAGAAATATTTGAAGAAAATACATGCACCAAAAAGCTTTCCTAGTCTATGGTATTTGTAGTGTATATCATCTTATGTTTTTCATTGCTTTTGTATAATGATTGTTTTTTTTTTCTTTGATTGTTTTATTATAATTATATGTATTTGTATGATATTGAGCATTAAGAAAGAAAAAGAAAAGAAAAAAGGCTCCGTCCGGTCTTACGTAACCTAATTAATATTCAAGAGTCGAGCCCTCAGCGTTGCTTGCTTGTGCCTTACACCCAATCAGCGTAGAGCGTAACATTGCGTCATTTAAATTCATAAGCAAGGCCTTCACCATAGTAACGGTGGTAAATTCTCTAGCCCGACCACAGTGAGAGTGAGTGAGACGAAGGCAGGCTGCTCCCTTTCGCCTTATCCTCCAAACACACACATTCCTCATCATGGCGGCCACAGATGTAGACATATTTTCTGTAAGTACCTTTTAAAGTCAGTTTTTACTTCCGGAAACCCACTTAATGTTAGATGGACAACATACACGGTCTGTACAGGTTTATCTGTAATGAATTAGGACTAGCGCGAGCGCTACTCTCTAGCTTAGCCCAACGGACTCTATATTGACTATTCACTGCTTTACTGTGTGTGTGTGTACACTACAGGTCAGACCAGGTGTATTATCTGTCTTTTGTGATCTTATTCTAGCTGTATAGTGTTCTAGTGACCCGAAAAGGGTGTTGAACTTGTCTTTTCTCAATCTCTTGAGTGTTTGTTGTGAACATCTCTGTAGTACAGTCATCAGACTGATGCAGTCTATAGTAATGATATTTCAGTAGTTTGCAAGATTGTTTTTTAAGGCAACATGCTCCCTCTTTTAACACTTGACATTGTGAGTGTTTTATACCCATAATCCCCCATTGAACAACACTGCTGTGAACTGGCAGGCTAGAGCCGGTAAAGTTTGGGGCCAACATGAGGCCCTCAGTGAAGAGTGACAGAAAGGGCGGATGAGGTGACAGTCCCGCAATCAAACTCGAACAATTCATGTGTTTATTACGGGATCTTTGGTGCTGATTTGTGTGAAGAAGGATAATTCGTTTATGAGAACTAAGTTTTCAGATGCTGTTGATTGAAAAATACTCATCCACAAGCCATCCTAACTTTAACTTTCTTCTTACATCCAAACACAATCAGAGTTAGGCCTATATAATGGCAGTCAGAGTTCACTCTTCCGCCAAATCTAGACTCGCGTACGGCCGTTCCCAAAAGCCAGTGATTATACTTTATAAAGTTGTAAATACGGATATTATCTTACAAAAACACATGGCTTCACTTCAGACGGCCTTTATTAACCCCTGGAGCCGTATGGATTACTTTTATGATGGATGGATGAGCTTTTTTACCATTCACTCCCATTATAAAGCTTAGAAAACTGCTTTAATAAAACTGTTTGGCTGAAAGAAGAAAGTCATACACACGCTTGGCTTGAGGGTGAGTAAATTATGGGATCATTTTTATTTTTGGGTGAATTAACCCTTTCAGCAAGACTTCCTTGTTCAAAAAGCTTGCCAATGTTGATCTAACCTGGCTTTCAAGGGCAAGTTCATCTTGTGTTTTGAGCGACAGTTCAACCAGACGAAGATGTGCCGTGAGAAGTCATCCATCACCGTCCCGGGAAATGCTTAGGGAATGACTTTTCCACTGCTGATTTTGAGGAAGTGCTCTGGATTTGAGGGAAACTAGTTTGGGTTAGAGAAGAATAACTGTATTGAGCTGTGGGGAAAGCTAGATAATAGTTGAATGTGTGTTCTGTGGAAGTGAAACCTGTGGCCGGTTTCATTAACCTCTCCTCTATATTAAACCTGTGTCGTGTCTTAACAACTAGTCTGAGCAAATAGCTTGTCAAGGGGTTATTAATCTTACTTTTCAGATTCAAATTAGGCCAGTCTTGTTTTTAATGTTCATGACATATAAAAAGTGCAACCAGCGTTAAAGGAAAAAATGACGCGACTAACTCGTAAGACTAGTCTAAGCAGTTTATGCAACTGTCCACTGGTGCGTTGATTTCAGCGTCTCGGTTAGCTCTAAATCAAGGAGAATGAATGAAAAAATGTAAGCGTGTTTCACAGTCAGTGCCTTTTGATCGGAGCTTTGTGTGGTTTTAGGGGCCGTATTGATCAACTGCATTGAGCTGTCAAATCTAATTACATCACGGGACAGAGAATCCTGTCATCATTTATGCATCCTCATTTAGTGGAACGTATTATCAAATTGTTTCCGTTCAGTGAAATAGGTGTGTGTTATGTAATGTGTAGTGCTAATGTCTCTCTTGCACTTGTGAGGATAAATAAGAGAGTTTTAATTTTTGTGTGAAGTACTGAATCTCTTTTACGGACAGATGAAGCCTATAATTGCACAACTCTTCACAGTTCAGTTTTCTCACTGAAAGGGTTGGAACAAGACCGTCCTGTTCAGCATTAATTTAATTGAGTGTATTATAGTTTCAGGGCAGGGCTGTTGTGAACTGTTATTTAGTGCTGCTATATGAGTTTCGTGATGAGTCAACGTCCTGTTCATGCTCAGAAATCCTGACCACTGACATTAATAAACACAAACATCACATGATTTGCATATGAGATGAGACCACTGATCTTATGTTATGAAGGTCAGTGTGTGAGACTTTGTGTCTTAATTTTCGAGGCAAGAGCATGAGCTTTACTTTTACCCTGTGGAGAACATTGAAAAACTTCAGGGAAATTCATCCATTAATGTGTTTTGCCTTAATAAAAGGATACAAGCAAACATTAACAATGAGAACTATTTAATTTCTCAGACTTCTGCTTCAAACTCTGTTTAATAATTATGCAATTTAACATGTATTTATTGAATTAAATTATAAACTAAGTTTAATAATCACATTAGGCTTTGCCACAATTCCTCTTTTCCATCTTTGCGGTTCGTCTTCGTGTTACACGTCACGTTTGTTCTTTATCACGTTTGTTTATATGCAGGAATAAAAGCCTAAATTAATGTTCATCATTAAAGCGATCAAGTGTTTGTCAATTTTTTTTTACTAAAGCACTCAGTTCAAATGAATTAGTTTTATGATCTCTTTATGAATTTGAGCCGTGAAGTGGTAGTTGTGTGGAGGGATTCATTACAATATCTACATTTGTGTTTCGACGGCGGAAGTCTCATGTGAGTAATGATACGTTTTTTTTTCATTTTTGGGTGAACCTTTTAAAATAATATTACATACACTTTAAGATATTTAGGCTTAAGACTTTTTATGACCTTAAATTTCATGATGGGACTTGCCCTGACGGGTGACGGCATTAGTGTTAAATGCAAAACTTTACACCTGTCTTTTATTTCAGGTTTAAAAAGAGATTGTGAATGCATGCACTGAGTGATGGCTATACAGCAAGGGGTGTGTGTGTGTGTGTGTGTGTGTGTGTGTGTGTGTGTGTGTGTGTACACGCACGCAGATAAAACCATGTTCAGCGCAGATGCCACCCAAATCTCGACCATCTGCATTCTTCTCCATAGTCCATACCGGCCTGTCCACCCGTCATATCAGATGAGATGCCAGAGAAATTTCCGATGAGGGTTGTTGTGTCAGTTTGCTGAAGCGGGCACACACACACACACACTCAGGTGTACGTGGGGGGTGAGAGTGGAGCCGTCCCAATTTGGCTCTTCTCCACTGTCACTGAGTTCCCATCTGCCTTTAACAGGCTGTGTTGTCCTAGACTCCATCATGGATTGTCCATTGTTCCCTGCAGAGTTATTGTTTTAAATCATTCTTAGGGATATATGAAAAATATTAAATTTTTGTCCGATACCATCCGATAACTCTTTATATTTCAAAGCTGATAACCGATATATCGGCCGATAAATATAAATTTAGTACACTTTTAGATCAGATTTGAGAGCCTGATTACAAAAAGAAAAGTTTAACCATTAAATCATATCTCATAAATCAAAAGTTTAACCATTAAATCACAATTATAGTGTTTTCTTTATCATTTTATGTAGCCGATATGACGGACTTGCTGTGCATGTTGCAGTGAACTGTATTATCCTTTTCTGAAGTGATTCCAATCATATTTCAAGCTATTTAAAACCATCATGTTGAACAGTGCACATCTGAAGTGCCTCAGCTGGAGGAAATAATGCATTATTGATCGGGATATCCGACAAGTTTTCCTATCAGGCCGATAACGATAACATTAAAAATGAATATAGCGGCCGAGACCGATATCATGCCCGATATATCGTGCATCCATAATTCAGCCACTGGTGCAAATGACTAAAGTGTTCGTCTAATCTAAGGCTATGTTTACACGGAAGCGATTCTGAAGAGAAAACGCAAAAGTGGCATTGCGTCATCACTTTTTATTCTGCGTTTAGACGAGCGTTTTGGGTGTGAAATCCGTGTGCAAATGGTGACGCAAAAGTCTGTGAAATTCAATGTAGTATATGCACTCCAGGCGGCTAAGAGTGCATACTACTACAACACCAAGCCCACACGCCTGTGTACAACCTTCACTGTCAAGCAGACTTTTACGTTTTTACCGTTTACACGGGAACGCGGCGGTGGAGCGTTTTAAAGATTTCCACTCTGGAGGGTGGTTTCACTTTTTTGCGTTTTTACCGTTTACACGGGAACGCAGTGGTGGAGCGTTTTAAAGATTTCCACTCTGGAGGGTGGTTTCACTTTTTTGCGTTTTTAAGCCCTAAAAAACGCCGTCGCCGTGTAAACGAAAGGCACGTCCGATAAAATATTTTTAGGTTTTCACCCGCGAGGGTTCTCGTGTAAACAGGGCCTGAAAATATATCTTTTTTCAACCCTCATCATGGCATATAAAGCGTGTTTTTTGATGCAGTTGAAGCCACTGTTATAATAAGCTGTTTATTATTATCAAATCGAAAATTGCCACTAGTACATTATTCAAAATATCTTCTTTTGTGTCCTAAGTAGGGATGCAAGATATATATCGGCCAGCATATCGGTATCGGCCGATATATGTTCATTTTTAATGTTATCGTTATCGGCCTGGTAAGAAAATGTGGCCGATATATTAAAGCCGATAATGATGTATTATTCCCTTCAGCTGAGACACTTGTTGAGCACTGTTTATCTTTTTAAATTTCTTGAAATATGATTGAAATCTCTTCAAAAAATTAAAATTTGGTTTGGGACAACATGTGCAACGCAAATCTGTCATATCGGCTATACAACACTATAATGAGAACATCATTATAATTGTGTGCTTGGGACATGGATTTAATTGTGAGACTTTTGTTTTTGTAATCAGGCTCTCAAAATTAGATACAAATTTGGATTTAAGTTTATCGGCCGATATATCGGTTATCGGCTTTCAAATATAAAGAATTATCGGTTATCGGTATCGGCCAATATCGTTCATATCGGTGCATCCCTAGTCCTAAGGAAGAATAGGCAACAACTGAAGTCAGTGGTGTTTGGATTGAGGACCGAGTTTCCCTGCTGGATGAATTATTTCTTTAAGTGTTTTTGGATGGGGCGATTCTTTCTCATAGAAATGCATGGAATGTTTGCCGAGTTGCACACAGCTCTCAGTGTGTTCTGTCAGTGTGTGTCATGAATCAGGCCTGTCACCGTGAGGGCTGCTTGAGAAAATATTGTTCCAGGGCCCGAACGCTGCTCCACTTCCTCTTGATGTACTGCCCCCTGAGGGAACAGTTCCCCCTGCGGCCGGGGCGTTTACTATCGGCCCCTATATGGCCATTGTTTAAGCCTTCCCAAGATTCTTCCCAGACTGCATGTTTTCCAAAAATGCTTTCAGACATTTCCCCTTCTTCACCTCCTAATGTTGGATCTCCCCTTCAGTGCCTCTGGGATGAAATGACACTGGGTGGTATGGAGTCGGTACTGGTTTTTCAGCTAGAATTCCTTTTGTGCTCGGCGTGTGTGTGTGTGTGTGTGAATTGCTGCTTCCCTCAGTAGCACTCTCAGTGACATCATCCACCAAATATCTGCCTGCATTGGGGGAAAAGACGGAGCCAGAGACGAGGGAGGAGCGCATTGATTTCAGGACTGAGTTTTAGTGGGATTTTAGATTTGTCTGGCTCTGAATTACAGACTTTTTTGGGAAGGCTTTGAATGATTGTCTGGAATGGTACTTTGTTTTAAGCTGACGTGATGTATAATACAACATCACCCATCTCTTCTCTATATGCATGCATTTTATTTTTTTGAGCTAATACGCTTTAATGTTTAACTCTCTCTCATCATTTTATTCACATTAACCCCACCTCTTTCAAAATCCAATCCAATCTGTAAATGATCCATAGAAGTCCCCACATTTTTTTCTGGTTACACTTTATTTTTTAGGGCCACATCACAACTACATGTCAACTACCTCTCACTAGAGTAGACTGCTAGGGTTCGATCAGCAGAATAGGTTGACATGTATTTGCAAAGTAACTTATAGTCTGTTGAGGAGAATCACAATAAAGAGTTATTAGATATTAAGCAGACAGTCTATTAATAATAGGGGTACACGATATATCGGCCACCATATCGGTATCGGCCGATATTTGCTCATTTTTATGTTATTGTTATCGGCCCGATTCTAAAATTTGGCTGATATATTAAAGCTGATAAATAATGAATTATTTCCTTCAACACATGAGACCTGAGACACTTCAGATGCGCAATGTTCAACATGATTGATCTTAATATAGTTAAGTGCAAAATGTGCTGTCATATCGGCTACATGAAATTATAATGAGAACATTATAATTGTGTTAGGGGACGGATTTTAATTGTGACACTTTTGTTTTTGCAATCAGGCTTTCAAAAATTATATAAAATTTGGATTTAGATTTATCGGCCGATATATCGGTTATCGGCTTTCAAATATAAAGAATTATCGGTTATTGGTATCGGCCAAAATGTTCATATCGGTGCATCCCTAATTAATAATCTAATGACTGACAGTTGACATGTACTTGCAAAGTTACTTATAGTTAGTAGACCGTCTATAGTGGACTATTGGAATAGTGAGACCTTTTTTCTTTATTTCATTAGATGCATGTCACCATACAGAAGGGTTTTTCAGCGGCTGAGTTCCCATCTACCTTTGATTGTCCATTGTTCCCTACAGAGTTATTGTTTTAAATCAATATTAGGGATGCACCGTTATGAAAATTTAGTCCGATAACGATAAATCTTTATATTTCAAAGCCGATAACCGATATATTTGGCAATACGAATAACTAGAGAGGCAAAAGATTGGCTTTTACGTGAGCCTTATGGGTCAAATTTGTCTGATTCCTTCACAGAATGAAGAAAAGCGTAACCTCAACCTTGGCGGTCATGTCGGCTTTGACAGTTTGCCTGATCAGCTGGTCAGTAAATCAGTGACTCAGGGTTTCTGCTTCAACATCCTCTGTGTGGGTAAGCGACTCTTGAAATGTTCACTAGCTCAATGCTGGGATAGTATGATCTTGTGGTGGAAATGCTAATCAGTCATTCTCTTATCATTAGGAGAGACGGGCATCGGCAAGTCTACATTAATGAACACCCTTTTTAACACCATGTTTGAAAACGAGGAGGCCAGCCATTACCAAAACGGCGTTTACCTGCGGCCCAGAACGTACGACTTGCAGGAGAGCAACGTCCACCTGAAACTGACCATCGTCGACACGGTGGGCTTTGGGGATCAGATCAACAAAGACGAAAGGTAAAGTAAAATACAAAAATGCCCTGTACTGTTTACACCAACGTCAGTCGCACTGAGAAACTGATATACTCAAAACATACTAGAGCCAGACCGATATATTGGCAGGCCGATATTAGGCATTTTCCAATCTATCGGTATCGCCAGTTATAATGGCCGATAAATGAATTTGTCAAAAATAAAATAAAAACGGACGAAACACGCTTGAACCATGTCATGAGTGTTGGAGTTGTATAGTTTGTCCACCAGAGGGCACTCTACACCGTTCCCGTAGGCAACACTCGTTGAGTTGGTCACGATACATACATTGCTTGAATAACAATTAAAAGATCATCCCTCAGTTCTCTCAACTCAAATAAGCATAACAAATTTTTTCTGCTGTTATATAAGCCGAGAGTGAAGCGGAATTAGCTAGTAATAGTTACGTTATGTTGTTACAGTGTAGTTGACTGACTGTCCTTTTAACTTTTGACTTGTGACTGAAGTATTTCTTTAATAGCGCGTGACCGTTATAGCAGTGAGACGCATCATCTCTCCTTGGCCTGTTATATTGAAAATGTATGTTTTACAATTTGCAGTATGACGCGATCCATTGCTAAATTATGGCTAGCTAACCACAAAGCTAGCTAATGCAACTCTCATCAGTCCGTTCTGTTGTGACAGTGATAGAAACAAGTTTCTTTTTAAAATGCATTATCATATTATTTTAGTTAAAACTCATAAATAACTACAAATAACTAATGTTAGGGAAATCTGTTAATGTTTTGTTGCGCGTTTCTGAAAAAAAATAAATATCGGCCGATATATCGGAATGTCGGGTTTTAAAAAAAACCAAAAAAATATTTGTATCGGTATCGGCCTTCAAAATCCTTTATCGGTCGGGCTCTAAAACATACCACAAGGAGTCTGATAGATAAACTCACTAGCCTGTTAATGCAAAGAAGTTTGTTCATATTTTAACACCCACATGCTGAAAACTCTCCATTAAACACTCTTGTCTATGGAAAGGGATCAGAAATGTATGTGGATGTCTGGCACTTTCCATCATTACGGCACAGTTTGGACTCATTCATTTTCTTAAAGCGTTGAGGCACAAATCTCATTGTTGTGCGAACTATTTGATATTGTTGCACAAACTTGAAAAGTAAGCCTGTGTTATAATGTTGACTGCATCCAACTTTTGTTTAACGTTTAAAGACATTTTATTCTTTATTGTAAATGAGATATGTTTATCAAAAACTCCAAAGCAACATCGAGTGACAGCTCAAACTCATTATTCTCCATTGCTGTGGCTCCTCTCTTCCCAGTCTGTCAGTAACGCTCTGTTTACTTCCTGCCTCTATGAAGCCCCTCCTTCTGAAAAGCACTCTGTGCTCTGATTGGCCGGCTGGAGCCGAACTTTGCAGAGCTTTTTCGTGCTCAAACAGCAACATGCTAAAGAAACCAGAAGTCCTCTATTTGATAACAAAATGTCCCAAATGTTATCAGGTTGCAAACCTTATTTATAATAAATGATGAACAAAACAACTGAAAAAGCATCTCCTTTCACTGGCCGACACACTGTTAGAATACGCCCTCTAACCCTCAGCACGTTGGGTGTAAAGATAGACAGGCTTACGGGTGCCAGACATTGCATCTTTTGGGAAAAATGCCTCCAGAACAAGAGAGCGTAGGCTCTGAAAGCTTACGAGTGGTGCATGCTGGGAAAACTGCCTGAGAAGTCAAGAGACGAGGTCATGTAAACATGATCCAGGCCAGTCTCTACACAGCTCTCACACAAAGTGTCTCGCTGTTTGAGAAAAGATAACACGCGTATCAAACTCTTTCAAATGTTATTGATGTTAAAGGTGGAATACCTAAGATTTTTGCATTAAAATATCCCAAAATCACAAGGCCAGTGTTATATATTTAGTAAAGATGATAACTCACAATATTCCAAATGTTTCAAACAATGTTTAAATCGCGAGAAAATTGAGATTTTAACCAAGGAAACGGCACGTGTCAGCAGGGGTGAGCTGGGAGTCGCGAGTCAATCGCGTCATATCCGCTTACCTCGGTTTCCGCTCTTACTACGTGTAGTCCTGGACAAATGCGGTAGTTGTAGTTGTGCGTTAGCGCCTATCAAACGGCAGCTTGTTTCGCGCATTTGTTATGGAATGGAGCACATATATTCTTTTCATTTATTCTCGGAATGTGAACTGTTGGCTGTAAAGGGGGTCGCACACCGGACGAGAAGCGCCGCGTCACGTTTAGGACAACTCCAGTAACGTTATCGAACACCGGACGCGCACTTTCTCATCAGTGTATGGCCAGCAATATTGTTATGTTTAATGACAGAAAATGAAGATAATGTCTGTTCTATGTTATTGTACTGTACAATTAAATACAATCGTTGCTGAGTCTGCATTCTGAAAACTTTACCTCAGAGCATCCGTTCACAGAATGAATTGAGAATCTCACGTGAAAAATCTAATAATAATCAGTAATTGTCATTCAAGCAGCTGATTTCTGTAAATGACTGCAAAACTAAATGCATAGATATTGCAGCATAGGGCAAAGTCAGGATCCATTAGCAACGGTTTGAGGCAAAAATAATTACAATTTTATATAAAACTATGTAAATGGCGCTCTGTGGCGCAGCAGGGTTTTGAACACGGTCCTGAAACGTTGCTGGGCGCCGCGGACAGACGCCGAATGGCGCTGCCAGTATGTGTACACTTATAGATAATAATGTGTTCGAATAATTATGTGGTGCAACGCGGCGCTGCAGCTTCTCGTCCGGTGTGCGACCCCCTTAACGTTAATTTTGTGAAACTGTAGCTGTGGTTGAATACTTACACGACATGAAAAGATGTGTCAAATGTACATTGCAGACATCCCAAGTCTCCCGGATCTCCCGCATATTGATAGCGTTTCCCTGATGCCCGCAAATTAGTTCAAATCTCCCGGGATATAATGTTAGAGCGAGACATACTGCGCGCATAACATACAGCGCGCTGCGCGTGCACTGTACAGAGGGAGAGACTTTGCGTTTGTGCCTCGCGAACGCGAAAGTTAGCCTTCCCTCCCACCCCCACAATCTTGTTATCGAAATATACCTCCCGGAAATGAATTCTTGCAGGTTGGGATAACTGACATTAAATTGATTTTTTATTTTTATAAAGTTACCAAGGAGGGCCAACCAGGTCAACTCCTTGCGAGAGACCTGCCCCTTCAAACCCTCTCCACCATAGCTTCGTCCAGTGACTCGTACAGTAACATCTGTGATAACTAATTTACTTTTAAACCTGACTTTTCTTGCACGGTTATTTCAGTTTAATGAAATACAAGCATGTCATTAAACGCAACGTTTATAGAAATCGAACTTTACCTCATCCATGACAACTAATTTTCGATTCCCGTCTGACTGATTTATCCACGGTGGAGTTGAAAACAACAGTTCCCATCATTCCGCGTTCCTCCACGGCGTCATCAAGCAAAGCCGTTGTTGTTGTTTTGAATGTAGCGCCCTCTAGCGGCATCTAGATCTTAGGTATTGCACCTTTAAGTGTGTCTGTTGTGATTCTGATTTGTTGCACCGTGTCTGTTTCTCTCAGCTATAAACCAATTGTGGATTATATCGACACACAGTTTGAAAACTACCTGCAGGAAGAGCTGAAAATAAAGCGCTCTCTCTTCAACTACCACGACACCAGGATTCACATCTGCCTCTACTTCATTTCCCCGACGGGACACTCGCTCAAGTCCCTGGATTTAGTCACGATGAAGAAGCTGGACAGCAAGGTAGGGTCCCGTCACTGCGGTTCACTAGCTAGTGTTCTGCAGGAGAAGATTAAACCTCACTGCAAACGCATGTGTGCTAACCGCTACTGATGACTCGTTATAAAATAAGGATATTATTATATTAGCAATTTATATGTGACAACTTGTATCACAACAGACTGGGTTTATATATATATATATATATTGTGGTATATATATATATATATATATATATATATATATATATATATATATATATTTATTTATTTTACACAAGATTCACTCCAAGTGTGTATTGTTTTCAGCCAGTGCTTACAATATCAAAATGTGTAAGACTCTTTCAAAAGCTGAATATTGCAAAAGCCAAAGTTACAATCATCATTATCATCAATATTAATATATCATTCAAGTGGACAGGGTTACAAAACAGGTGTGAGAGGAAAACATTACTGTTATTACTTGTGTGCTCAAATGTAGAAGTTGTGTATGACATGAACAGGGTTTGAAATGAACTTTTTCACTCTCCGGCCAATTTGGCTAACCAGATTAACTACGTCACGGCTTTCTTGTAAAATTAGGATATTATAAGATTTGGATTTCATACATTAATTTCCTATTCAAACAAAATCCTGTCATCCAGCATCTCCTCCTTCCTCGTCCTTTTCACCAAAATGTGTTTTAGTTGGACAGACCAATACAGCACATACAATACAGTGTTTTCTGTAAACCAAATGCCATTCAATCTTTGCTATTACTTCAGTTGCAAATGAACAAGCGTGTCGTTGTTTGTTGCGTAGTAACATGTGACGTGTGTGTGTTAAAGTTATACAGATATAAGCAGTTTCTGCAATACGCTGTATTTAATATATCATGACTCAAGAGTATTTGTGTAAATCTGCTGAACTTCCAGCAAAGTGAGTAAATATAGCAAGTAACAGTCCGAACTGGCGAGCGATCTGACAGCGTTTCCCGCCACGGTCCATTTATACACACATTTGGCGAGTGTTAAGTTCAAACCTTGACATGACATTACATTCAAATTTCTTTTGCTGCCAAAAGCATGAATGACCATCTTGTGTGTGCTCGCTTTGAGTTTGTAGGGAATGTCATTAGTGATGAGTGTATTGATCATTGATAATGTGTAAATGTAGGACAGTGGGCAGGGCTTCTCTCTTCCTGCCAGTGGAAAAAGAGCCAATCGATTCGTCATTTCATCAGAGAATAATGGCGTGAACGAGAGGAGACTCTGGGGGTTTGTGTTTGTAGGAGAGACACAGATGGTTCATAATGATGTGGCCTCAGGGACCTGTGACAACAAATACATGCTAAACCTGGGCAGACACGCTTGTTTCTCTGCCTGCCATTAGATCTGGTCAGGTGACCCAGTCTGTTGTGATTGGTCTACTCTGCTCTGATTGGTCAGGTGACCCAGTCTGTTGTGATTGGTCTACTCTGCTCTGATTGGTCAGGTGACCCAGTCTGTTGTGATTGGTCTACTCTGCTCTGATTGGTCAGGTGACCCAGTCTGTTGTGATTGGTCTACTCTGCTCTGATTGGTCAGGTGACCCAGTCTGTTGTGATTGGTCTACTCTGCTCTGATTGGTCAGGTGACCCAGTCTGTTGTGATTGGTCTACTCTGCTCTGATTGGTCAGGTTACCCAGTCTGTTGTGATTGGTCTACTCTGCTCTGATTGGTCAGATGACCCAGTCTGTTGTGATTGGTCTACTCAGCTCTGATTCGTCAGATGGTCCAGTCTGTTGTGATTGGTCTACTCTGCTCTGATTGGTCAGGTGACCCAGTCTGTTGTGATTGGTCTACTCTGCTCTGATTGGTCAGATGGCCCAGTCTGTTGTCATTGGTCTACTCAGCTCTGATTGGTCAGATGGCCCAGTCTGTTGTCATTGGTCTACTCAGCTCTGATTGGTCAGATGGCCCAGTCTGTTGTCATTGGTCTACTCAGCTCTGATTGGTCAGATGACCCAGTCTGTTGTGATTGGTCTACTCTGCTCTGATTGGTCAGATGGCCCAGAGCCAAACGCTTCCAGTTTCAGATACAACAACAGTATTTGAGGGCGGCCAATGAGGACCACAGGCTGGCTTTATGCAAATTTATTACAAACATGTAGATTCAAACAGGAAATAAGATGGGAATTCCTGACGACTCGTTTCAGACAGTTCGAAATCACTTCTTTCTTTTGGAAGACATGAACTCCATTTATCTCTGAAACTTTGCAGACCTTTTGCATTCACAAACAGCTTTATTACTACACTACACTATTGGGGCAGTTTAATGTTACCGCTTTGAGACAAATAATTATATTCATGAGATGGCTTAAAATTTTAACATTTGGACACTGACAGCCCCAGTTAAAGGGCACCTATTATGCCCCTTTTTTACAAGAATATAATATTGGTCTCTGGTGTCCCCAGAATGTATTTGTGAAGTTTCAGCTCAAAATACCCCATAGTTAATTTTATTATAACCATTTGAAAATGACATTTTTGGGCGTGTTTAAAAATGAGCTGTTTTTGGTGTATACCACCTTAAATGCAAATGAGCTGCATATCCCCGCCCTGCCTTTGGATGAGGGCGTAACTTGATGCCTATGGCAGTCGGTACTGAGAGAGTGAGAGAAAGAAACCGCTGTTTTGAATGTCATTCAGCGTACGTTTGAATCGGAGTATATAAATGGTACGAAGAGACTAAATACAAATGAATAAACACAAATGAGAATGGACCAGTACGTCTCGGTATGGGTGGGGTCTATGCCACAACCACACTGTCAATCAAACCTCTTGCTCAATTCTACGTCACAAAGCGCTGAATCTCAGAACAGCTCGTTCTGAGACAGTACAGATGATTTATTGAGATTGTAAAAAAACCACTGGGTGGATTTTTATCATTCTAGGGTGGTTTTTCTCACACACTGCCAACACACATTTATGTTCAAACACCATGTAAAAGTGAATTTTTCATAATAGGTGCTCTTTAATATCTACTTCTGTTTTATACGGAGAATTTTTTGCACTTTCAGCATTCTGCTAAGTTTCTCAGTTTGTCACAGAAAGCCACGATTGAGTCTTGTTTGCTTATTTTATGATAAGTAGCCTGATTTATTACTGGCATCTTATTTAACACAAGATCTATATCGAACTACAATGTGGAACTAGAACATAGGCATGTTGTGAAATGTTTTTGTTTTCTTTTAGGTGAACATCATCCCTATTATCGCTAAAGCTGACACCATTTCCAAGAGCGAGCTACACAAGTTCAAGATAAAGATCATGAGCGAGCTGGTTAGCAATGGGGTTCAGATCTACCAGTTTCCCACAGATGATGAAGCCGTCACAGAAATCAATTCCTCTATGAACGTGAGTCTTTGCTTCTCATAGACATAAACCACAGAAAGGCGCGTGTGCAATTTGAATTTGAATACAGATGTGAATGTATATTTCCGTGGGAAAGTGCATATTATTGCACAGATGTGAAGGAAATCAGATTGAGTATTAGTAGGTCACGTAACCTTTAATTGTCTTTATTCTAGGCCCATCTCCCCTTTGCTGTGGTGGGCAGTGTCGAGGAGGTGAAGGTGGGCAATAAGACCGTGAGGGCCAGGCAATACCCGTGGGGAGTCGTTCAAGGTAAGAAAAAGGGCTGTCAAATAAAAATCTGAATTTCGAAAATTCATCATATATATAAAAAATGCATTTTGCATTCGCATTTTTGTTAGTTTGTCCAGTATAAAGAGTTAGATTGTGTTGGGAAAAGGCTTCCTGCGGATGGAAACCTCAGTTAGTGCCACAACATACTTGACCAAACCTGCCCATCGGTCAGAGCTGAGCGAGTGTTTTCTTCAGCTGGAAACATCATCAACTAAAAGTGCTCAGATCGAGATGAGCGTGTGGGGTTTTTGACCAACAATATGTAGAAGTGGATTGTTTGTGGATGGCAGTTTGCTATTTTGTGTTCATGTAGTTCAGTGTGTTGAAGTGTATTTTGAGTTACTGATGCACAAACACGGTGTTATGCGCCATTGTAACCTAATTTACACTAAAGCGCGTTAAGGAAATTATATTTCATTTAAGAACAGTTGTTTTAAAAGTGAATGCCCTTTAAAAAATGAATGTCATTTCAAGAAAAGATGCAATGCTTGATTTGGTTTATATTAGCTTATTACGCTTGCTTGCGCCCTCTTGTGGGCATAGGAGACAAACAGGACTTTTTTGTAATGTAGTTTTAATGTCGTTTTTCAGCCGTTTTGACAGCGCTAGTAAGAAATAAGATTGTTGCAGTGTGGCTGTTTCAGTTGATGTTACTCTGTCTCTGGAGAGTCTCACGCTCGAGGGGCTGGAGTGTGTCGGACTCTTTCATTTGAACCCTGCTGTTCAGTTCGGGGGGGAGGGGGGTGTTTTTACAATGCCTTTCATCTGAAAACAATCCCATCAATCAAAGCGGTGATAAATGCCACTCTCGACGGAAGCTAATTACGCTGTTGTCTCAGATGTGAGCGAGAGAGCTCTGCCACTGATAAGGTCAGGCCGTTAGCTGTATCCGTGTGTGTTTAATTGCTCGTCCTCCATGAAAGAGACGCTCGGCGTAGAGCTCTTCACTTAGAACAGCACTTGGCCTTTGGCACGTCTCGTAGGGTTTTTCAGTAGACAAATACAAATCATTTAACACTTTTTTCAATTCTCAGCCATTTGACTACTTGCTCAACTAATTCAGACTAGAGATGCAACATATCGGCCACCATATCGGTATTGGCTGATATGTGTTTATTTATAATGTTATCATTATCGGCCTGATGGTGAAAAATGGTGCCGATAAATAATGTACTATTTCCTCCAGCTGAGACACTTCTGATACGCATTGATGCTTTCTGTGTGATTTTTACCCCCATCTAGTGGTGAAAAGGTGTATGACCATCCAGTGAATTAGTTTCTGTTCCTCTCAATTCCCATTTCGTTCTAACTCCTACGGTGGCCAATGTAGTCCAAGATTAACATGGCTTCTAGTTCGACCTCGTCCATGAGTGTTAACTCAAACGTAAATGCGAAAGGCGAAGCTTGAATTAACGTGTATGTCCCTCTTTGGCTAATGTACTTTCAAGATGGCGGGGCAACATGGCGATCAACGTTAGTACCCCTTACCCGTATGTGTTTCCAATGGCATATTATACACTCATGAGAATACTTTATTACTTGAACGAAGTAAATATACATTAATGAGCACATATATTTTTGAAAGAACTAAGTGTTTTTAGCTAAGATTAAACTAAAAGAGTTACACAGTGTAGCTTTAAAATATAATTAGAATCACTTCTAAATAGCAAACTACAGTAAAGTGCAACAAGTCATATCGGCTACATAAAATTATACGTTTATAAGGCTCCGCCTTTCAAAGTTTACTCCCTGGCCATGAGCCTGGAGAGAAGATCGAGTGGACTTTCAAGCGCTCGTCCCTTCAGTGGTGACCGTTGATACTGTGCTGACCGTGTGTGTGTGTGTGTGTTTCAGTGGAGAATGAGAGTCACTGTGATTTTGTGAAGCTACGGGAGATGTTGATCAGAGTGAACATGGAGGATCTGCGAGAACAGACTCACGCCAGACACTACGAGCTCTACAGGCGCTGTAAACTGGAGGAGATGGGCTTCAAAGACACCGACCCGGACAGCCAGCCCTTCAGGTAAGGACCCCCTCACACACCCCCTGCTAGCTCTCAACCGCACACTGTACAGAAATATGGGTGTGGTGTTTCTGAAGAGCGGTTTTGAAGCCCAAAGTGGGCGGAGACCAGTTGGTATCGTGTCACTCCCGGATAAACCAATATGGGCAAAGAGACGGATTAGCTGAGATGACATGGCGCTAACAGACACACTGATTAGTAGTGACATCAGCGGAAATCCGCCTGTCACTCAAGTGACCACACCCTTAATTTAAGGCCGGATTCGCATATAACGCCTAAAAACGAGTAGAAAACGCTGGGTGCGCCGCATTCTCATTTTTCCAAAGCGCTAGGGCGGTAGCGCTCCGGTTGGTTCTTGTCATGTGACCTGCTGTGCGCTTATGGTGCGCTTGCGGCATTCTGAAAAGTTGAGATGTTTTTATCTCGATGCGGCGCGGACGCGCTTGGAAAAAACGACCGCGTCGCTTCCATTATGAGCGTGCATACCGCGCGCCTACCATAGACTGTAAAAAAGATGGACGACACTCCTCCGCTCTTTTCCATCGGAGAGAACTGAAGCCGCCAGTGTCCCGATATGGCGCTGACATCTTGGGACTTGAGTCTCCGCACTTTGCGTGTTCGGGACCAGACATGCGCAGTCGTGAGCAGGAAGTAAAGCCGCGAAATCAAGGCCGCGCCCTCACTCTCGCTGAATCTTTTGCAAGCACACGCCCCGCACATTTCTTAAGTGGCCTTTGTCTCCAATGATGTCCGCTGATTGCAGTACCTCGTTAAAATAAGGTAAATACAACTACTACCCACATAGTCAACATTATGAAAAAAAGATCTCAGAGACAACCTGTCAATCACAGCTGTCAATCATGATGTCACAGCCCTGTGTTGAAAGCATCAAATAACTAAATACAAACTTATTTTAAAAACAAATATTTGAAATGACATCAGCGTGATATAAACTACAGAAAATGACAGAAACTATCTTTGGAGAAAGGATATGTGAAGTGTATTTTAATCGTTTAGTGGTCTCACGTCCCGTTGAATAACATGGGGAGACGGGGGGTTGTGACCTATACTAGGACCGGTCACAGGGGGGCGAATCGAGATGTTTTGGCTTCACTTTTGTGGGCTTGTGTGGCACGCTTGGCGCCTACATTTGAAATAACGAACTTGAGCGCGCAAAAGACGCAATATGTGAACAGGCCTTAAGGTTTAATATAATTGAAACAGATGAGTTATAAAATAATTCACCCCCTCACAGTCGTCATGAGAGGGCGATATAGACAAACACTTTTCACACCAGGATGTAAACATGTTTTTTTTCTGCTGTAAAGTTGGGCATTTTAACATGGGGGTTTATGGGATTGACTCTCTCCTGCAGCCGGTCTCTAGTGGCCAGTTGATGAACTGCAGTTTAAGGCACTTCAGTGTTGGTTTTCTAGAGAGAAACCGGAAGGTTTATTGACCGCTTGCTCTCAACATGCACCGATTTTGCAATTTGGTGTTGCTTAGTAGCAACAAATACCATGTGACCAAAAGCACAAATCTTATTGGTTGGCCAGTTTCCTTCACCGTGTGATGGAGAACAGATTTTCATTATGCGAATGTTTGTGAAGTTCGTTCATATTAAAATGTTTATCGCACAGAATTCAGGTCATTCTGATCAGGCCTTTACACTGAAAGTGTTCTGTTTTTCATACAAAACTCTGCTCTGGAAAGTAGCTTTCAACACTGTAAAGTCAGCATAAAAGCACAGTTAACCCTGTCAGTTCTGATTCGAATTTACAACATGTAAATACATCCATTTCTCCCGAAATACATAAAAGAAGTAAGCGTCTGGTGAACTGGGAGAAGAATTAACTCAACTTTATAGATCATTTGTGTGATGATGTGTGTTGTGGGCAGAGTCTACCTGAATAAAAGAGTGAAAATGGTCATTTTGTGTTTGTATCTCATAATTCTGAGAAGAAAAATCTGAACTGCAAGATTTAAACTCGATGTTCTGCATCGAGAACATTATAATTGTGTGTTTGGGACATGGCGTTAATGGTGAGACTTTTGTTTTTGTAATCAGGCTCTCAAAAATAGATTTGGATTTAGATTTATCGGTATCGGCCAAAATCGGTGCCGGTGCATCCCTACGTCAAAGGGTTAATTAATATACATTCCTGGTTTTATCATCCATCAGTTTTACATGTTCAGCAGAAATAATGTCTTCATGGTACTGTGTGAAAAAATAGTTTCCTGTTGGCTGTGTCATTAAAATTAATTCTATGTTGTGGACACTTGGGCTTGTTTTGGGCTACTGTTCCCTCTTTAACATGTAGCGCAGTTGATGAAACATTTACATGCCAGTAAAAGAACAAAATCTGTAAAGATAAATATAACGATAACTATGTTAGCATCCACACCAACGGACGAAGACCTTCTGTTTATTATGAGCGCACTGCAGTATTCTGTGTTTTCATCCTGATGCTCGCTGACGTTTTTCAGAAAAGGCTTTGTGTGTTAATGATTAAATCGATTTTGCTGCTCACACTGCTTGTGAATGCAGTTTCATGTGGATTTTAAGTTCAAATATGCATGCAAATCTTTATGAAAAGGAAAATCAGGTTATATATGTTACCATATAAAACCAGCCAGTTCAAAGCAAAATCTTTTCCGCAGTCTACAGGAGACGTATGAAGCCAAACGGAAGGAGTTTCTGGGAGATCTGCAAAGGAAGGAAGAGGAGATGAGGCAGATGTTCGTTAATAAAGTGAAGGAGACGGAGGGCGAGCTGAAGGAGAAGGAGAGAGAGGTTAGTCCTGATGAAAGGGATAGTTCACCCACAAATTTAAATTAGCCCATGATTTAATCACCCTGAAGCCATCCTAGGTGTATATGACATTCTTCTTTCAGACGAAGACAAGCAGAGTTCTATTAAAATATCATTTATATGTCCTGGCTCTTCCAAGCTTTATAATGGGTCCATAATGTACATCATACAAGTGCATCTATCCATCATAAAAGTGCATCTATCCATCATAAAAGTGCATCTATCCATCATAAAAGTGCATCTGTCCATCATAAAAGTGCATCTATCCATCATAAAAGTGCATCTATCCATCATAAAAGTGCATCTATCCATCATAAAAGTGCATCTATCCATCATAAAAGTGCATCTGTCCATCATAAAAGTGCATCTATCCATCATAAAAGTGCATCTATCCATCATAAAAGTGCATCTGTCCATCATAAAAGTGCATCTATCCATCATAAAAGTGCATCTATCCATCATAAAAGTGCATCTGTCCATCATAAAAGTGCATCTATCCATCATAAAAGTGCATCTATCCATCATAAAAGTGCATCTGTCCATCATAAAAGTGCATCTATCCATCATAAAAGTGCATGTATCCATCATAAAAGTGCATCTGTACATCATAAAAGTGCATCTGCCCATCATAAAAGTGCATCTATCCATCATAAAAGTGCATCTATCCATCATAAAAGTGCATCTATCCATCATAAAAGTGCATCTATCCGTCATAAAAGTGCATCTATCCATCATTAAAAGTGCATCTGTCCATGATAAAAGTGCATCTGTCCATCATAAAAGTGCATCTATCCATCATAAAAGTGCATCTATCCATCATAAAAGTGCATCTGTCCATGATAAAAAGTGCATCTATCCATCATAAAAGTGCATCTGTCCATGATAAAAGTGCATCTGTCCATGATAAAAGTGCATCTGTCCATCATAAAAGTGCATCTATCCATCATAAAAGTGCATCTATCCATCATAAAATTGCATCTGTCCATGATAAAAGTGCATCTATCCATCATAAAAGTGCATCTATCCATCATAAAAGTGCATCTGTCCATCATAAAAGTGCATCTATCCATCATAAAAGTGCATCTGTCCATCATAAAAGTGCATCTGTCATGATAAAAGTGCATCTGTCCATCATGAAAGTGCATCTATCCATCATAAAAGTGCATCTATCCATCATAAAAGTGCATCTATCCATTCATAAAAGGGCATCTATCCATGATAAAAGTGCATCTGCCCATCATAAAAGTGCATCTGCCCATAAATAAAAGTGCATCTATCCATCATAAAAGGGCATCTATCCATGATAAAAGTGCATCTGTCCATCATAAAAGTGCATCTATCCATGATAAAAGTGCATCTGTCCATCATAAAAGTGCATCTGTCCATCATAAAAGTGCATCTATCCATGATAAAAGTGCATCTGTCCATCATAAAAGTGCATCTGTACATCATAAAAAAGGGCATCTGTCCATCATAAAAGTGCATCTATCCATCATTAAAGTGCATCTGTCCATGATAAAAGTGCATCTGTCCATCATAAAAGTGCATCTATCCATCATAAAAGTGCATCTATCCATCACAAAAGTGCATCTGTCCATGATAAAAGTGCATCTATCCATCATAAAAGTGCATCTGCCCATCATAAAAGTGCATCTATCCATCATAAAAGGGCATCTATCCATGATAAAAGTGCATCTGCCCATCATAAAAGTGCATCTGCCCATCATAAAAGTGCATCTATCCATCATAAAAGGGCATCTATCCATGATAAAAGTGCATCTGCCCATCATAAAAGTGCATCTGCCCATCATAAAAGTGCATCTATCCATCATAAAAGTGCATTTGTCCATCATAAAAGTGCATCTATCCATGATAAAAGTGCATCTGTCCATCATAAAAGGGCATCGATCCATCATAAAAGTGCATCTGCCCATCATAAAAGTGCATCTGTCCATCATAAAAGGGCATCTGTCCATCATAAAAGTGCATCTATCCATCATAAAAGTGCATCTATCCATCATAAAAGTGCATCTGTCCATCATAAAAGGGCATCTGTCCATCATAAAAGTGCATCTATCATCATAAAAGTGCATCTGTCCATCATAAAAAGTGCATCTATCCATCATAAAAGGGCATCTGTCCATCATAAAAGTGGCATCTGTCCATCATAAAAGTGCATCTATCCATGATAAAAGTGCATCTGTCCATCATAAAAGTGCGTCTGTCCATCATAAAAGTGCATCTATCCATGATAAAAGTGCATTTGTCCATCATAAAAGTGCATCTATCCATCTTAAAAGGGCATCTGTCCATCATAAAAGTGCATCTGTCCATCATAAAAGTGCATCTATCCATGATAAAAGTGCATCTGTCCATCATAAAAGTGCGTCTGTCCAATCATAAAAGGGCATCTATCCATGATAAAAGTGCATTTGTCCATCATAAAAGTGCATCTATCCATGATAAAAAGTGCATCTGTCCATCATAAAAGTGCATCTGCCCATCATAAAAGTGCATCTATCCATCATAAAAGTGCATCTATCCATGATAAAAGTGCATCTATCCATCATAAAAGTGCATCTATCCATCATAAAAGTGCATCTATCCATGATAAAAGTGCATCTGTCCATCATAAAAGTGCATCTATGCATGATAAAAGTGCATCTATCCATCATAAAAGTGCATCTGTCCATCATAAAAGTGCATCTATCCATCATAAAAGTGCATCTGTCCATCAAAAAAGTGCATCTATCCATGATAAAAGTGCATCTGTCCATCATAAAAGTGCATCTATCCATCATAAAAGTGCATCTGTCCATCATAAAGTGCATCTATCCATCATAAAAGTGGCATCTGTCATCATAAAAGTGCATCTATCATGATAAAAGTGCATCTATCCATCAAAAAGTGCATCTATCCATGATAAAAGTGCATCTGTCCATCATAAAAGTGCATCTATCCATTGATAAAAGTGCATCTCCACCATATAAAGTGCATCTATCCATCATAAAAAGGGCATCTTATCCATGATAAAAGTGCATTTGTCCATCATAAAAGTGCATCTGCCCATCATAAAAGTGCATCTATCCATCATAAAAGTGCATCTATCCATCATAAAAGGGCATCTATTCATGATAAAAAGTGCATCTGTCCCATCATAAAAGTGCATCTAATCCATGATAAAAGTGCATCTGCCATCATAAAAGTGCATCTATCCATGATAAAAGTGCATCTATCCATCATAAAAGTGCATCTGTTGTCCATTCAATAAAAGTGCATCTATCCATCATAAAAGTGCATCTGTCCATCATAAAAGTGCATCTATCCATCATAAAAGTGCATCTGTCCATCATAAAAGTGCATCTATCCATGATAAAAAGTGCATCTATCCATCATAAAAGTGCATCTGTCCATCATTAAAGAACTCTGCTTGTATTCGTCTGACAGAAGAATGTAAAT